GAAAATCCCAGTGTGCAAAGTACGACAAATACTTATAGCATGAACGTATTAAATTAAAAGAAATCACAGAATCTGATAGCAAAACAATGATAATAACGAAGAATGATTGTTGCTTTTTTAAACTTCCTTTTCTTTTTCGTTTTTTTTTTAGATTAAATTGATAATTATGCCTAGTATTATTTTACTTGGCACTGACTTCAAAATTATAAAATACTTATTTAATAATTTCTGAGTAACCAAATCAAAAAACCGAATTCCTTTGTGCTAAGTAAATTTTTTTTTACCGTTTAGTTTCCCGTTTGAAGTCGGTTTTTTTTGTTAAAAATTATTTTATTATACTATTTAAATATATACAGGTGACTCCAACGCCTCAGTCTGTCCCGTGACGGTGAACGCTGTAAAGGGTTCGAAACGTCGTGTATTAAAACTAAAATAAACGCGATAAATCCGTAAACATAGTTTCATTTAGTAATGTGTAATCGTGTGGTTTTAAATCAAGTCGCCCGAATTTAAGTACACTGTAAGTTTGGGGTCGGTTAAAGAGGTTCGAACCAAGCACTCTAATACATTTTTTGTTGGAGATGCGTAAAAATTGAATGAACTATTTTCTAAAATTTCTTCAAAGTCTTAGAAAACGTGAAAGGGAACGTAAATGCAAGTTAAGGTAAGGATGACTCACTACATCTCCCCCCATTTAACCAACCCAAGAACTATTTGGGGAGCGTGAGCAGTATAAAATATTTACTTTTATTATTTAGTAAATTACACAATATATATATATATATATATATATATATATTAATAGTTATATTATGTCATTAAATTCACCTTTCAGCACAAGTTTTACAACATTATAACGCCAATAAATATATTTACTGCATACAAGTAAATAATAAGTATATTAATCATGCAACTTACCTTGTTTACAGCTCGAAGAACCGTACACGCAACTTGCTCTTAAAAAGAGTGCGTATAGTTCTGCCCCCTTGATTTGTAGCGCTTTCAATTACCGTAATGATTAAATGCCATTTAAGAATCTAGATTTTCTTTCCGAGGGTACATTATATATTTATACATTACATATTTTACTGTTTTGTATATGGTATAAAAAAATGACAACTTTTCTTTAACTAAAAACAGTTACATGTTACATAAAATAACCACTGTAAAACATTAAAATGTTTTTGTGAAAATCAATTTTACGGCCCTGTTTCTGAAATACCATCGGACTAAAATGGTTGTCACTCAACGATACATTTCACTATCAAAACAATTTCTAACAGACATCTAAAAGTAAATCAGCTAAAATGAATCATAAAATCGGACTAACACGATAATCCTATTGTGTTGAGCATAGTGGACTCTTCTAATAATTATGTTCACTTCTAATTTAATACAGGCACTTTAATCCATTAGATAAAAACAAGAATAACTTACACAAGTAAAAGCATTAACACTTTTTGCGGTAATAGGGCCACGCAACACTGTTGCACGAATGGGCAGGTCTGTCCGGGTAAGTACCACGACCTAACAGAAGACCGGCGTAAAGTAGAAGTGTTACACTTCTGCGTTTCGTCTGGCGAGTGAGGTAACCGGGGCCCACGTTATTTAAAAGTGGCAACGCATTTGCAACACTACGAGTGTTGCAAATCCATGGGCGGCGGATATCACTAAACATCAGGTGAACCGCCAGCTCGTTTGCCACTTACTCAATAAAAAAAATACTACTTGAAATCGTTAATAGCGACAACTATCAATTTAAAAATCGAAAAGAGATAATCAAAACTAATACTAGTACTCACCGAGAGGTCAGGCGGTGAACGTTTGCGCTGGCCCGTTCTCTTGTAGCGCCAGCCACTTTTCCAAGCTACAAGAAAAAAGAACCGATGAAAATCCTTTTAGTAGTTTTAGGGGAGGATTAGGAGCACTAGTGTCAAGCGACAGGTGCACACAGCAGCGATATTGTGTGTAAAATTACCTGACCACAAAGAAGATTGACACATTTGTTATCGCAAAATTCTTTGGTAAGAAAACGCAGGACAATTGGAATAATGCGAAACAATTCAAATGAATTTTAATAAAAGGTGAAGAAAATATCGATTGCGTTAACAGTACACTAAAATTGTCTGCCATAGTGTCACCGTTATTGAAATGAAACTTTAACAATCCTTAGTGAATAACCGGAAACCGGAGTAGCGGCTCGTTTGTATCGGCCGAGGCGATTTTTCAATTATGTTCGACTGTTAATTTATGACGTCAAAGTTTTTTTTTATGCACAGACATTATAGGTAGTTTAAAGTATAAGAGCTATACAGAATACAATAGTCATAGTTGAAACGAGTTTCACCCTTTCTGGTATAATCAACACTCCTTACTAATAACTCGACCAAAAAACGTAGTAGATGTATTTGTTAATAATAAAAATACTTCATACAACCTTTTCGCCCGCGGCTTGGCTTGCGTTGAAGCCGTTTCATGTTAATCGATTGAGTAGTTTTGGCATGAAAGCGTAACAAACAAACTTATATTCACATTTATAATATTCCTAGTAGATATATATTATCACTGTGGCAGGACCCCGCAAAAGCTTAAGCAGTAAATGGGCAGAATGGTTCGGAGAAATATCGCGCCCACACAGATAAGCGAACAAATGAAAAAATAAAAATTTCAAAATAAATACAACAGTGTATTTGAGACATAAAAAGGAAAGTTTTCACCAATTGTCGTGAAAAAGAAAAACATTTTTGTAAAATATAAAAATAAAAAACAAGAACTTGGTTATTTGAATTTTCACATAAATTTCAGGTAATGTGAAAAAAGTGTAAGCATAAAAGTTGTAGATCTTTTTATTACCTATTTACCTTTTGTCCATGGGCCTTGTAGTTTTTCTAGAAATCGAGATAAACCGTGTTTACCCCTAAAAACTCCCCCCCCCCCCACTTCCCGAACTCAGGTCGCCTGTAATTTATTTTTCCTTTCATTTTTATCATATTCCCCTGCTTTTCCTGTTTTTTTTTCACTTTTACCATTTTCAAAGGCTTCAGCCCTGGCCAAAACCGGTGTCCCCTGTTTTAAAAGTTCTTAATGCATCTGCAAGCAGTAAGGTATTGCAGATGTCAAGGGCGGTGGTCTTCACTCAACACCAGGTGAACCGCCCACTTGTTTAAATATTTTCCACATAAAAAAACACGCAACAATGGGCCGTCCAATAGCGTACGGACTTTAACCGTAGTGTGGCCACCAGCATTTCCTGTTGCGCAATTGTGTAAGCTCGTACCACGGCCTCTTAGAAGCCCGGCGTATTATTAGGTATTATACTTACCCGTTTCGTCTGGTAAGTGAGGTAACGGTTTCCATATTTTTTTAAGGTTGTCATCGGCTCTGCTAGCCCTACTAAGGTGTTGTAAATGTCCATAGCCGACGGTAACCACATAACATCAGGTGAACCGCCTGATCGTTTGACAACTTTGCACATAGAAAAGACATTTTCCGTACAGGCATAAATGAAAGTATATCAGGGCGGAAAGTAGCTGTATTGACAGCAGAAGATATCGAAGTTAATAAAATGTAGATAGTATGTTTATACAAAAAAAATATTCTATCTAAACATCGATAGGAGCACTTGGGTACCCATGAAATGAAATTGATGAACACATGGTAAAATAAAAAGATCAGACAAAACGACCATAAAGATCATTTCAATACTCTACTCAAGTCAGATGTCACCAGAGAAATAGTGTTGCCAAATTGTAATGACGATTATTTAACTTGTTTAATAATATTAAGATTAAACTAAACCTTTGTTCCTTGTTTTGAGCATGATTTATGTTGGCAGCATAAACCCCAGACAAGGATTCGTTACTGAATCCTATTGGGACTATTTGATACGTAAGTAGAACAAATAAATCCTGCACCGTAACACTTTACAATAAACTACACTTTTAATGTATTACATAATGTTTTATTAAACATTAAAATTTCCTATTGAACGTACATATCAATAAATTTCCAAAATATCTTATCCAACACTTAAACACATAAAGCAGAAGCGGATAAAAAGAAATAAACCACCAAATAAATCTTGACAGCTACTGTTAATACAAATGATATAGGAATAACTTAACGAACACGATTTTGATTTTAGATTTGTATGTATTTCATTACGTATTCTATGTATCATGGCATTATATCTTTACCCGATGTAGAGATATGTTAACTAAAACTTTGCAGAACAGTATAAAACAAAACCAATAATATAATGTAGTGTTGAAATAAATAAAAAATCGTAAGAGCGGTACCATATAATTCAAGCTGTTTTCAAAGAATATTAAAAATTGCTTGTGTTTTCTTTTTTTATTACTGCCACATGGCCCAGTGTGATTGAGACCGCCTATTGTCGGAAATAATAAGTCTAGAGAAAGAGGTAAATAATAAAAAAAAATAAAAGCTGAAGAAATTTTATTGCAAATTTGTTATGGGGAAAGGGTTTAACAAAAATAAAATAAAATAAACACTCGGCCATCGATTATAAAACAATACATGATCTGGTCAAGGTGCTGGTTGATTATACAATAAAAAAATATCAATAACACTACCGAAAATAATGATTCATAAAATAATATATATATATAATTATATTCCGTTGTTGTTTTTACCTCCTTAATCTTATTCTAAACTGTTCATAGTACTTATTGAATACCTTGTAATAATATACATAAAATAGATATAATAGCACATAGAAAACTTTGTAACATTGAATATACATGCAGTAGCTAAAAAAAAGAAAGGTAAATACTAATCGGAACATTTAAAAAAAAAAACAGTCTAAACGGCTTGGTATCGTAAGCAATAATAAAACAATAATAAAACTAATAACTTAAAAGGTAAGCCGAATTTACGGTATTAAACACATAGTTTCACATACTGGTGAGATAGCTTACACTGACGAAGGACATTCGTAAACGATTAGTATAGTGAAAATGTACTTAAATATAAAGTTAAGGTTGGTAATGACGCCCGAGGAACTGATGCGGCTCGTGGGGTCTTCTTGTGGCTTGGTAGACGTCACGCTCCTTGTCCGGATACTTGGTGGGCAGGTTGGGCGAGTGGAGGTTCACCTTGGCGGCGTATCTGAAGGTGGAACGGCAAATTAAGCGGGGGGGAATTATGCATGCTGCAGCTGTTGAGCTTCAATGTCGAACTGGCGAGATGAAATATAAAAAAAAAGATAAAAAAATAAAAAAAAACGACTACTATCCTTAGAAAATAATTATGTACCTACTGGTCGTTTTTCGGTCCGGTAAAAATATAAAAAAAAATAAAAAAAAAACGACTACTATCCATAGAAAATAATTATGTACTGGTCGTTTTTCGGTCCGGTCGATTGACCGTTGCGTACCTTATGCCGGCAATGTCAATCTCATAGTGTCCACTGAGCACGTAGTCGTTGGTGACGGGCTGCGGACGACCGTCCTTGTCCAGATTCTGGATGAAACCCAGACAGACCTGTCAAAAAGAAAAAAAATATCGTATAAAAAATAACATTCAATGGCAGCTTCTTGATTTTATATTTAAATTGCATACATGAGCCCCGGGCAATTTATCATGTTTGCTCTAAATCAAAAGAAAATACTGCACCCTCAAGTAGACAAGAAATGGAAAACATGAGAAAAACTAGCTGTTTTATGTATCTTTACACAGTATAAAACAAAGTCCGTCCCGCTGTTTGTACGCTTAGATCTTTTAAACTATGCAACGGATTTTATTGCAAGGTATTCAAAGGCACGGAGCCCTTCGTGTGCGAGTACGACACGCTCTTTGCCGTTTTTTTAATTGGTTAAAACCACAAGTGCTCTAGTAACGTGAAGAAATTTTTGATTTAATTAAGCCTGATTAGCTATGAAAGATCGTCGAACCTAAAACATACATATAAGCCAAATTTTATGAATATTTCAACGCAAGTGCGTCCAAAGGGGAGGACTTAATTAAAATTTTGAGATTTCGAGCTGGTATGTTAGTACTGATTTCCACGTAAGTGTGTCCAAAAAAGAGGACTTAATTAAAATTTTGAGATTTCGAGCTGGTATGTTAGTACTGATTTCCACGTAAGTGTGTCCAAAAAAGAGGACTTAATTAAAATTTTGAGATTTCGAGCTGCTATGTTAGTACTGAAATGTTAGTAAGCCGATGTTCTTACCTGCTTCTTGAAGGTGTAACCGTAGCTGGTGGTGGTGGTTTGGCCGCAGTAGTTGCCGTCCCTATATATGGACTCGCCGCCCCACGACCACAGGTCCAACTCGTGGTCGTGGTCGGTCAGAAGAAGCTGCACGTATTGGCGCCCTATGCCCTCTTCCCTCTGACGGAGTAGGGCCTCGCGACCGATGAAAGGGATATCCTTCTGTTGGGACAAGGTTGCCGCTATACGCTCCTCATCTCTCTCCATTCGTATTATGGCGACCATCTCGCTTAATTGCTTCGCACAAATACAAAGCCTTTAAGCCCTTGTTCAGTAATACGTTCGTAACTAAATGTATATAAGAACGACAGTTTGCCGAATGTGAACTGACGTACAATCATGACGCTGGTTCCAGGGTCCAAGAACCAGCGCTTTGTATAACCAGCTAATGGATAGCCATGGCCGTTGCACCTCACAAACAGTGGATAACATGTATGGATTGTTTCGCGTTTTTGCCTATGTACCCCAGTATGAGATGTGCTGTGTGCTGGAACTCCAAGACCTGTCTGCAATTATGTTGCTTCAAAGTGACGCCAATATCGAAGTCAAAGGATCTAGAGCTGTCAAAAAGTCCATACACAGAGCGGGTACCTGTTAGAAACAATACACTTATAATTACTTATACTCACATCGAATTTTACGCGCCATGTTCGGCCGCACTCCAGTGGCGTTGTCATGGTGTCAAGGTCTTGCCCCCAGAAGGCGAAAAACTTCTCTACACGCAGAGAACGCGAGGCATAGTAACCGACGTGGCTTATACCGTATTTCTCCCCCACTGTCATCAGTCTATTGTATACGTGTAGCGCGAACTGGAAATATTCCTTTATGTACGTCGATGGCAGCATAAATTCATAATGACAATGAGTTTTCGTATCAGCAATCAGATTTTGAAGTTATTAACTATAGACCGATAAGTGACTTTATGGATGGGATTCCATCAAAGTTGAAACGATTCTTTTGATATTTTCGTTCGTGTTTCGATTTCGTGAAGTATAGTTGACACAACATATATAATAAACAAAAGTATGCCATTCCATATAATACTTGAGAAAATAATGTAAATGAGACAAAAATAAATTTAAAAGAGATATAAAAACCGTTTAAAAACTTTTAAGTTAAACGATTTTATTTTCTGTTTTTTTTTTTTGTGCACTGAAAACTACAATATTGTATTGTCATCTAAATTAAATGTGTGTACCAAATTTCAAATCAATCTGACAACGGGAAGGTGCTTAAATTTCAATTTCTAATTTTGACCCAAATAAACAAATAAATTCCGTACGTGTCGAGCTAAATAAAACCGTTTAAAAACTACAAAGTCACCTCGTTCGGTATATACAGAACGTAGCCCAATTCGCCGGTGTGCGTTAGATTCATCGCCCGTATGCCGTTAGCGAGCCCCACGTCCAACTCCTTGAAGGTGAAGAAGGGGAAATTGGTGGGTGACAGATCGGTGTCAGTCAGCTCGGATAGCAGGTTCCTCGTGAAGGGCCCCATTACGCAAATGGCGGTGTACATCGAGGTGACGTCAGATAGGGTCACCGACCCGTTCCGCGGCAGGTGACGCTTGAGCCAGACCTTGCAACGCGTCTGTTGTATAGTCGGTGCGATCATCATATAGCTAAAATTAAATTAACTTTATCAATTCGTATCTTTTTAGAAAACTACACACGGTTACATAAGTTGCCACCACCGTAAACACTCATTCGGTGCAAATGAAGTCACAATATACGTACTGGTTTTCGCTAATCCTAGCTAAGCTGCAATCGTTCTCATAGCCACCGCGGTCATTCTGCATGCCCGTGTGTATGATGCTTCCGATTGGTACATCAACGTTATTGGAGCACAGATACTGAAGGAAATCAACCACTTCACGGCCTTGCGACTGTAATTAAAAAATTCGAGGTGGGGTTTTGTTTTTCTTTTTGTACCTGATGTTGGTTGGTTTCATTACTTTAAGAATTACGGATAAAATAAATGTAATGGTAATCTCTACTAAGTTTGTTAGACAAGTCTTGTGTTGGTATATAATCAAATTTAATAGGGTCACAATGAAAGTTTTTAGAACGGGCCAGTTAGTAACATTGCCAATGAAAACTTATTTAAAATTTTGGGTATGGAACTTTTTGGCAACTTATTATTGCATTCATTTGTCCATGAATTCCATATTGAAAAATCTTGTTACACCTCAAAATGAATTTACATTTAAGATTTTTGAATTTGTTGTGTTGAGAAAATTTTCTGTCCATGATTTATTACGATTCTGTTGTGGTTTTACTCAACAAAGCTATGATAGACTTCGATTGGCATGATAATTAAGCCCCATCCCGTGCCACTGTTTAGATTGGTTTAATGAGTTTAAGAATGGGCGTAGCAATCTCAGTGAAGATCTGTGTGAGGGATGTCGTTCAACATTGACATCTGAAGATAACATCAGTGCTGTGCGACGCATAATACAAGAAGATAAAAGAGTGACTAGGTGTTGGTATGAGTCAAATACAAAAATGGTAACCGACCATTAAGCCGTCAGGAAGCATTCACCTAAGATCATAAACGCATGCGCATGGACTGGTGTCGCGAAATTTTAGAAAAGTTCAACGCAGGTGACTAGTGCTGTATTTGACATCGTAACAGATGGATGAAAGCTTGATATGTTGCTGCAATCCCGAAACACGAGACAATCTGCTCAGTGAGTGCTTCCTTTTGAGACGGCCAACTAAAGTAAAGAACTGAAGAAGTCAATGAATAAAGATGATTGCCTCGTTCTTAGGTCGGGAAGGTAGACTTTTGGCTGGTAGACGGAAGGACAGTTACTGCAGACCGTTATTTCAACTGTTGTTTGTCTGTTGTCTTCGACAGCAGCGTCCTCGAGGCAGGGTCCAACTTCACCACGAGGACGCTTCAGCGCACTCCGCGAAAGGAACAATTGAATATTTCATTAAGGCAGTCGACGAGATAATGAGTCATCGTCCACATAGCCCCGACATGGCGCCCTGCGACTTTCATTTAGTCCATAGAATCAAAGATAAAATTATAGATATACGCTTCACGAGCCTTGAAGATGGTGTGTTAGGAAATGCCTTAGAAGAGAAAAGGAAGAATGAGCTCACTAGTTTCTTCAGTAGTTCCATCGAATGCAAAGTTGTATAGGGCAACGAAGACCTCTTCAAACAACAATAAAAGTATTGGCAACTTATAATTGTGCCGTTTTATCATTTTCTAAGAACTTTTTATGTGACCCACGTATTGTGGTAAATATGAAGTATGTTATACATTATAGCATATAAAATCACACAGTTTTTTAGTACTTATAGGTACTAGATAATATAAATACAGAAGATATATTAACGACAAAATCAATTCTTTTTCCGAAAACCAAACTTATTAATTAAACATGATATCATAAACAGGAGAAAGCCTTGGACACGATCTATATATACACATAGTTATACACGAAAAAAGATAAATGAAATGAAATGATTTCGTAGTCCCTTAAATATAGCCGGTATCACAAGTAGGCTACGTGTGATTTTCTTCATCTACGGGCGAGTCGTAACATCCCCAAGGATACCATCATTGAGGTACTGCTGCAGTTATATCTCAGCAAAAGCATTGCCTCGATGGTGGTGACCCTGTGGATGTTTATGTTGTAGCGCTACGAATCTTCTGACTCCAAATCTGCTACGCACGTCCCTCCTGCTACGGCGTAAAACCTTAGCTACGTTGAAATTGAGATATCGTTAGAAAATCGGGTGCAAACCACGTTATCTATAGCGAGCTTTAGTGAACTTTAAATATCGAAATTATAACATTCTCAATAAGCTTTGAGGTTCGAGGTGTGAAGTTGTGATGAAAGAAAGTGAATTTATGCTTTACGATTATATATTTGTGTAAAAAATAAGATAAAGGTTTAAAAAATAAGCTTGTTTTATAGATTTTCCTAAAGAATCCTATAGCATGTATTAAAAATATTGTATTGATTGATGGTTTTGTGGATTTGTTGTGAATGCAATGTAATATAGTCATCTAATTTATATTTATTGAAAAAAGTTCAAACTAAACATAAAAATGAAATAATAAAAATGAATTAATATTTACATTATTAACATTTTAATCAGAGTTTTAAGATAAGAATAGACGCCAGGTTTATTAGGCATCTTTAATTTGTTTACATCACCTGCATGAATGCGTCATTTTGCACAGTCTTATAATCGGTATCGCCGTTAAGCAGAAATGAAACAAAGGGGCAACACGGGCGGCAAACATAATCGAATATGACGAAATACTATACCTGTATATCGATTTTCGTGAAAGACGAATAATCTGCCAATCCGACGGCCTCCCTGCACGCCCAGTACTCCTGCTGAACGGTCTCAAACCAATGCGGTTTTCCGAACGTTTTTGTATGGGCGATTTTAAAAGGCCGCTCCTTCTGCGGGTCCGCTTTGTCCTTGTCTGTAAGCATCTTATCGGTCACCGACCCATATTGGGTACATGGAGTTCCCAATAATTGTAGTGAAACTTCTAATGCGACTTCCAAAAAGGTTGCGTTAAACGTTTAACGCTACCATGGAGAGGGTATGAAAGCACTCTGGGGAGGGGGAACAGAAAGAGACAGAGCGAGAGTGAATGCGTGGCACTCGATGTTTCACTACTTCCGCGCCGAGGGACTCCACGTACTTTTAGTGTTTTTGTTTCTATCGCTTCAACTCACCGACTGTTTCGAACCACGTGGGCCTCTCGTAGCCCATGACCTGACCGAACACGGCGCCGTTGTCGCGCAAAGTTGGATAAATTGGCGACAGTCGGAGGTTGCGACCGGTTTCGAATTCGTGGAACGGATACGGAAGTCCGTAGTGCACACCTTAAACGGAAAGCGGAAGCGGTCAGCGTTACGAACGATTGCATGGAGATCGTGTACCCCGCACGGGGTGCTTGACGAGATGTACCTGGTACTTCCTTAACGCGGTCCCTGAGGAACCGCTTATTGTTGTGCAGCCCGAGAAAACGGTTTATGTCCAGTTCGTACATGTCGTACTTTGTGTACCCGTCGATTATTCTGTCGGCGGTCGCCTCAGCGACGCCACCCGCTGCTGAGATGCCAACGGTCTTCATGCCAGCTGCGACGTGGTAGTTGCGCATCTAATGATGTCGATATGTTCTCGTTTTTAGTCCTTTTTATAACTAAGCTCTCGAGTCATCGTATAATCGGTAGGGAGTGCGAACCGGAAAGAACATTTTAAAAATATACTATACCATAAGGCAAGACCGTAAGCGATTTTATATCTCTATGTATGTTTAGCTTAGTTTCGTATAAATTAGAAAAAAACTGACCTAATAGACATTGTATATAACGAAAAATGTGAAAAGAATGTTATCGTATGGTATTAATATCCGTAAAGTTAAGATGCGATTTCACCAGTGTGCTGAACTGTGCGGTACTGTAGTGAACAGTGTACGACAGAAATGTTTACAGCAAACTTTAACAAATTGTGCGTAAACATTTCTAAAATGTTCGCGCCACCACTGTATGCTTTTGTGCGCGCACACATTCAAGCTTTGGACTCGCGTCAACGCGTACACACTTGTTTTTCACGAACTCAGTCTTGCTGCCTGAGTGAAAACATTTATTTATACGCAAACATTTTTTTAATGTCAAAACTTGTCAAGCGAGTACGTGGTTCATCTGATGCTAATTGAATACGGGCGGCCCATAGACATCTACAACACAAAATACAAGCCATCGGCATAGGCGTATATAGCGGGGGGGGCCGGGTGTTCCGTGCCCACCCCAGTATAGTATAGTGCCCACCCCAGGATTTTGGGTTACCGATTCGAAATTCTAAGCTGCCTTCATAGCCAACAGCAGATTGAAGCCGAGCGAGGTGCAATGTAGATATTGAATTTATCGAATTTTCTCTACTAAAATATGCATATATACTACATGTAAACCTTCCATTTAAATAATATCTATTGCTGAAAATCGCTTTAAAATTCGTTACGTTGTTTAATATATACATAATATATAATGTTATGGAACTGCCATAGTGTTCGAATTTTATCTGTATTAAGGGCCCAGGCCCGCCCTGAAAAATAGCCCTAGATACGCCAATGGCCATCGGTTACAAAGCGTTGGCAATCTTTAAAAAAGAGGGCGCCGGTTATATCACTCACCAGATGAAACGCGAAAGTTTAATACTTCCAATTCACGTTGGTCTTTTTAACGTTCAATAAGAGCTTAAAATATGCCTATGTTGAATAAAGAAATTTTGACTTTGACTTGACTTCCTCGGACGCGCCTGCGCAGTCGTACAACAGTAGAAGCTGTTGCGGGGCCCTACCAAAGTAAAATGTTTAGTTAAATATGGAGTGGACGAACGATAAAATGAGGTGATACGAATGAAATGAATGAATGAAATATACTTTATTGTACACAAACAACGAATATTGAATAATCAACAAAAAATAATACAAAACTGTACAATAGGCGGCGGATATGGTACGTTATTAAGAAATGAGTAACGAATGAATGTAAGAAATGCAATTAGCATTGACTCAAAATCTTCTCCCGATAGCCGTGATAGCTCACTGTCCGGGCGCTCGCCTTTAATTTAATATACTCGAGCAACCTGTGTTCGATTCCCGTTGCAAGCACCAATGAAATTGTTAATTTTAAGTGCCGAATTATCACGTGCTCAGCGGTAAAAAAAACATCGTGAGGGAACCTGTATATTTTCGTAATAATAATAAAAAATATTTCGAAGATCAAAAATTAAAAAATATGTGAAGTCCGCCAATCCGCAGTGGGGCCGTGTGGTGGACTATGCTCTGATACTCTATGTACAGAGGAGGCCTTTGCCCAGCAGTGGGACATATATAGGCTGATACTTTACTTTACTTCCTCCGATATACGAGAGACATTTTTAAATCCGCTCAATTGATCTATTTTTTATATCTTTCTTCTTCCACAAATTTACTTGTTAATTCATTGCGTCGTTATAGGAAGTGCCTCACCAATCATCGTGGTTTCCTTCTCAGTTACATAAAACACAGGCTGCCGCACAAAGTACTTTATAATTTTTACTGACCGTCAATAATAACGACTGAATGCATGCTGTGCGTGGACAAGTGTGCTACATTGTGCGATCTCGATGGCCCGTAAGCGACATGTCATAACTAATGCACGCATGAGTACATGCGCGGCCTTAACCACTGAGGAGGGCCTCAAACCCGTGGGTTCTGGCTAGCTCACCCATTATGCGTTCGATGAAGCTTTAATAGTGTAAGGACTAAAAAAGCGTAACATCAGTTAATACAAAATACATTGTGCGCACACAAAAGTTAAACACAGCCTTGCCGATTTGCGATGCTAAAGTTTAGCACAAAATGTTTGTTAAACAACGTCCTGCACACTATTTTGGTGGAATCTTTAGATTTGAGCTAGAAAAAGAATAAATTATTATGAAAAGCTCGAATGTATGCGTATTATTGGAAATGTGAGAGTAAATCGGCAAAGTTTCTAATATCCCGAGTCCTGATCGCATAATATTAGAGAAAATCGAAAGGCTTTCGGAGGAAATCTTCCCTCAGCGCCGATTTCCCGGAAATAATCCAACTCCGACTAATGGAATAATCCAACTCCGACTAATGGAGTAGCGCCGAGAGCAACTTGTAATCTCCTGATGAGAAAGCGCGATGCATCCTTCACTTGAAATGCGGAACAACAAGCGGAAATACACACAATTAAGAATAAGAGATAATAAAAACAAAATAGGCGTGTAAAGTCTTTATTACAGTTCAGGCAAGTTCCGCATTTCCATACGCTGAAAGGCATTCTCGAAACGACGTAGTCGAGTCATAAGTTTTGTCACATGATTACTGTGAAATAATTGACAAATGTTTGCTTTTACAGTATCCATTTATATACCAAAATGAACCAACTAAAACCTAGCTTCTTATGCTAACTAAGCTTATTCCAAATGACCCTCGCAATTGTGCGCGCGCGCGTACGTGCGTACACATGTGTGTGTATGTGTGCGTGCTTGCACATTTTACGAGTATATTTTAAGAGAACCTACTTTAGTAAAAGAAAAAAAATCAGGAATAAAATATGCAGCTTTCAGTGCTAGTTACTTGGAATTTTCATTGCGGTGAAGAAGAACAAACTGAGCAAAAGGCTCCCTGGTGGCAATTAAGAGAAGAGATCTGTAACCGCTCATTGGGGTAGGATTGTTGTTTGAAGTCACACCTATACCTAAGGGTAGTACCAATCCTAATCTTAAAATACCCCCCCCCCCTTAAAAATCCCCCCCCCCCCCCCCTCTGTACCTAATATTTTAGAAGGGAATGTCGGCGCTGAATTTATATAGAAATAATTCATAAAAATTAAGATTCGATGTGACAATAACTTTGCAGACTTTAAAATTTTGTAGAAAAAGTAGACGCTTTAGCCACTAAGCTAAAGGGCTGATTGCCACACCGATGAAAATCTTAACGTCTTTTATCTACATTGTTTTTTAGCATTTGAAGCAATGTTGGCGCATCCATTGTTATTTCCGTTCCAGCATACAAACAATTTCGAATATCGTTTTACAACGATAATTCGAACGAGAGATGTCGCCATTGCTTTTTTAGAAATTTTATTTTTTATCGCCGCTGTGGGGATCGAACCCACGTCTTCGGCATTCGCGGCCTGACGCTTTAGCCGAGCTAAACGGCTGATTGCCACACTGACGAAAATCTTAACGTCTTTTATCTACATTTTTTTTAGCATTTGAAGCAATGACAATCTTTTCGTACTTTTTCTACAAAATTATAATGTTTAATCTTAAGTGCAGAGATTAGCACTCTAAAAATTTAAACTTTGCAGACTACTAAGGTAGCTGGCAAAAAATTCAACACTGATGATGTTTAAACAACCAAATGTATTCATCGGCTTTGCAAAGGAGAAAAATGTAATAAATACCCCTCGTCCCGGCATAGGGTGATGGATCGCCGATTGCATTAAAGTCGTAGCATCTCACCGCGTAGCACTCCGCCGAACAAAGGATCGAGCGTGAACAAAGGGAACGTTCAAACATTGTAGACTTAACGCGTAGCGTCGCACTAGTATCGCGATCGATACGGTGCGGGAGACTAGTGAGAGAGGGCTCGATTGAAATTTATTCGAGATCGCGCGAGAGCGACGGCGGCTGCCCGGGGCAACGGAGCGAGGGGGGTGGCCCGGGCCGCAGACTGTGGTGGAGCTCGGCTATGGAAATCAATATGCGGACGGAGGGGACGTGGGAGGAGGGGGGGCGTGGGCGTGCGGGGGTGGCCGTGAGAGCGGGGTGGCGCGCCGCCGTGCGGGGGGCGGGGGGGGGGGGGGGGGGGGGGGGGGGGGCGCCGTCGTTCGGAGGCGGCGCGTGGGCGTATGTGGGTGGCGGAGGTTGCGAACGTGATGGCGTAGGTCGCCAGGAAGACGGTGATTTACCTATACCACGTTTATATACAGTTCGTCTCAGCTTTCGCGAACTCACTCTAAAATAAAGCACCGTCCTCGCTCCCGTTAATGACTGAGGGTAGCCTAAAACACGCTTGCTTAAGATTTACATCTTCTATTTTTCGATACCGCTCGTTCCGTGCACTCTGTCGAAAAGCTGAAATATGAAGAGTATCGACTTACCTCAGGGGCTTCCCCGACGATCCATTTGCAGTCTGGTGAGAAGGCCTCGAGACCGTTGCACAGCTTGTGTAGCACGGCCTGGTTGAGACTCGGCACCCGTTTGAGCAACTCTTGCAAGAGCACGTGAAAATGGTCCCAGTCCTCGGCCACGCAACGTTGCGATGCGTTTTCGACTTTTAAAAATAAAATGAAAATGTTTTAAAACCCGCGCTGCATGCACTTCATCGCGATCAAATATAAATGGACGAACGTAGTCGCGACGTCGTATGAGACACAAAGAAATCTCTTTGTTTAAAAAAGAGTTCGCTTAGTGCTTATTTATTTAAAAGGTTAATTTAAGTCAAGTTTAAAACCGTTCATTGGTAGATTTTAAAAGACGCGAGCACAGGTAGTAATCGATTACACAAAACTAATAATCCATCGCCATCGCGAAAGGGCGACAAAGAAGCGCATCGAAGTGAGCAGAATAAATTTAAAAAATAAACCAATATTTACACTGTAGGCGCGACGCAGAGAGCAACGGGGGTGAAAACGATCCGTTAAAAATATTCGCCAAGCCAGAGGAGCTTTAAAATTAAAATAAAAAAAAAAAACGTATCGCAGCAACAAGTTGAACGCTGCGTCTCGGCGGGACGATTGCGCTCGAACTGAATCTAGCCTAGGTCCCGGAAATAGTGCTCTAGCTGGATCGATCCATTGACCTATTTAAATTCCCAGGTGCAGCGAGCTCCTGGCACTATCGGAAAGCTTGCGCGGCGCAGCGCGCATTGCACAGTAATGCACGCAGACTCGTTCACGCCCCACCCGACGGCGTTACCCGATTACTCTAAAGGCGTACTGATTTTGGACAATTCGCGGCCAACGCTTACAATTGAATATATACAGAAAAAAACAGATACAATAATCTCATAAAGTAGCTTTCGGAAGAAACCAAACGCACAAGAAATAATATACGCATTAAATGATATAAGTTTAAAACTAAATGGACAGCGGTAAATTAGAAAAAATAAAATTGAATAATAAATCATAATACGATAACGCATAAAATAATATACTTTGCATTAGAATAAAACAGCAGCTGTTAAAAAGAGTCAACATTTTACACGTTTTGTCATAAACGAAAATAGAAAATAATTATGGAAAAAGGAAAAGACGGATACAAGGAATGAACACTTACTTTCTTCTTCATAGACAGGCTTCGCAACAGGTTCAAAACCGCCCGCCAATATACAGCCGTCGCGTTCGCGTAGGTAAATGTAGCCGTCGGGATCTCTCACGACTATAAGAAAGGACATTACATTCAATTCAAATGCGATATGACAAAGAGCGAAACAAAGAACATAATAATACAAGTAAATGCGATAGGGCCACGCAACAGTGTCCACTGTTGCACATATGGGCAGGTCCGTCCGGGTGAGTACTACGACCGCACCGAAGACCGGCGCGTAGTGGAAGTTTTTCTGCGTTTCGTTGTGAGGTAGCCGGTGCCCGCTTTATTTAAAGGCGACAAAGCATTTTTATTGGTTATCACTTAACATCAGGCGAACCGCCAGCTCGATTGCCACTTTCTCACATAAAAGAAAAATAAAGCCACCCACCTGGAGTCATCGGGTCTAAGTTTTCGATGCGTTTGGTGTGCAAGTAGTAATGCTCGCAGGGCAGCAACGGAACCTTCACTTGAGGCTTCGCCAACTGGCCGACCTTGGAGAAACAAAAGACGATACATAAAAAAAGCAGCCACCATCTGCAGCCACCTTAAAAATACACCAAGCATGACACGTAAGAAGCAACAGCTTATACGACAAGCGTTTTAATGTCCATAAAGCGAGATGATTTCGCGACGAGTCTGCCTCACCTGTCGCGCCCAGAAGCCAGCGCAGTTAACAAAGTATTCGCACTCGATAGGGCCGTGGCTGGTCTCCACGCCGCATACTGTGTCGCCCTTGGACAGTACGGACGTCACCTTACAGTCCTCCATAACGCCCACGCCTAGGAATAGTTTTGCGATATTGATTGACTCCCATTATATTTCCCTCGGCGGATTATTTACGAACAGATTCACTTGCCACTTTCGACGGCTTCTCGCATAAGGGACATGCAAAACAGATGTGGATCACCGACGCCATCCCCGGGTATCCAAAGCCCACCAAGTATGTCATCGACATTCAGCATCGGCCAGATCTCTTGACACCCTTTCGGCGTGACCAGTTCGCATGGTATACCCCAGGAACTGTCTAGAAGAGTTGAGACTGCTTTATCTTTTGAAGATGACAGGGTGCAAGGGTTTATATCACATTGCGGGCGGCGTATATACAAATGACGTTCATATTATAATATATTGATTTATTCCGTTGTTTTAATAGAAGAGGCCCTTCATTAGAATCGAGCCAATTAGAATTCGTAGAACTTAGTCCGATAATCATTTTGTTCGTTTAAATGTTCTCAGTTGTCCCTTTAAGTTTCTCCGGTTAATCGTTATTAATATTGTTTTTTACTCAACATAAAAGCGAGGCGCGTGTCTCGCGTGCGACCGATGAAACGTCGCCACGCAGACTGGGGGTTCACGAAGAGTTGCCTTGCAGCCAGACCTAGGCTCAACGCATGTCTGCCGCGCATCCCGATCAATAGCTTCCAGACAGTCGCATCGAACATGAAACGCGCACCTATCTCTATAGATGCCCAATTAATTTATCCAATATGGCGTGTATAAGAAATACGGTAATCATGATTTATTTTTACATAAAGTTATGAGTGATAAAGAACGAAGCTGTTTCGGTAACAATCGTCAGGGATTGTAACTTACTGATATACCTTAGTTTTATAAACCTGTTCTTTCTTTTTCTCATAACGCCCATGTATAAAACATTTCGGTAGAGATTACGATATCTAAAATCGAAAAATTATTGACAGTGTACTTTAGTATGAATTAATTGTAACTCAGATACAATTAAGTTATACAAAATTTTATTTTACATACGATTAAAAAAGATAAGTTAATCAAAACGACACCATGTATTCTGTGCGCGGACGAGGCCTTATTAGCCACTCTACACCAGATCTTAGGTCTTATATGGAAATATAATGTATCGGTTTTTACATTACTTTACTTTTTAATAAAGTTTTATTCCCGCGATTTTGCTTAAGATACAAATGAGATTCCAATATCGTTGGTACCTTTAATACTAATATTGACTTGAGACCACTGCACCGTAGGACGATAAGACGGGTTCAATTTACAATTAACGAAGTAAATAATTAGCCGTATCTTTAAAGAATAGTTTTAAAGCTCAAATTCTAAAGAACGGAATCTTATTTTCCTGATGGAAAAATGTTGTTACGTCTCAATTTCAAAGTACAAGTGATCACCAGAATAAATACCATTAATTTATTGCCACCTTCTGAGATAAAAAATAAATTGGAAGTCGTGAAATAGAATTTTACAAAAATTTAAGCGGCCGCTGTTTAAAACTGTAATTTCATCCGCTCTTTGAAATACCAAGTGGTGGATGAATTTTGTATCAGTTTTACAAAGTTATTATAAAATAACAAATAGGTCGCAAAGATCTAACTGAAACTACGACAAACATTATAAACTTTTAGTTTATACAATTTGTCGTAGAAAAGTATAGGGTGCAGTGGGGTAATTCCGACATAAATTTGTATGACATCACTAAGGGTCCAGTTTTCGATTAATTATTGAAAGTAGTTTTATATCTAAGACCATAATTGTTTTACATCTGTTTGCGTTACGAAAATAACTGTGTTAAATATTTATTCAATTCTTAAAATGCAATTGGGGTTTTGGATTAGAGCATTTGAAATATTAAGCTATATTCTTTTCGTAAAAGGGATAATTACGAACTATCATGGGGTAATTCTGAAGTATTTCAAAAGTTTTATTTATTGAACTCTGGCCACAAAGTTCATATTACTTTTTCAATCGTAATTATGTGTTACACAAAATATACGCAATATTGTCCATAGAAACATTAATCTAATTTATTACAGCTTTGTTATTTCGTAATTATCCCTGAAAGTGTGTGTGGTTCTCAAACTTTAAGTTACAATTGTAGGAAACTTTTTGTTAAGCAGTTTTGTCCACTTATTTTGTATATATTGTTGTGTATTCCAATACTTTGTATTATTTAGTAAATAATACAAAGTATTGGAAAAACCAACATAAATAAGGACGAGGAAGATCAAAGAATGTAATATATATTTATTTAATTTATAATCTTTTTCTTCAAGATACTTTCCATCAAATCGAAATATTCTGCAATGACGAATAGATCTGTCATTTTCTTCTTACAAATTCTACCGGCTGTACTTTTTTAAAAGACAATATATGTCGTTTCCGGAAATTAATTAACCAGGGATATTACTCTTAAATGGTGTCGGAATATTGTAATTACCTGCACATATTCAGCGACATCTTCCATAGTTTAATTGTTCTGCTCATTTATTTTCTTCTATAGGTATGACGGTAGGTATTCTTGCATTAAACCTGACTGTTGCTTTATTTCTCTTAACATATTCATGAAGAGTCGTCATTATATACTTGAGCTGCAGTATATTAAGTTAGTAGGTGGTTCTCCCTTTATAACTTTTTCGATCGCTTGAGCAAAATCTTGTGAAGTGTATTTTTTCATTTTCTTTCTTATGTAATTTCGCGACATGATAGATATGTAAAACAAATTTTTTAATAATGCAAATACATAAAAATAAGTTTGAGAACCACTGCTTATTACTATGTGAAAGCTAAATGGGGTTATAAGGAAAATATAATATATCGGAATAAACCCGGAAGGATTATTCCGGAAAAAAAAAAATTAATAACAATTAGAATGTTATGTTCCTCGTACATAAACGCAAAATACGATAATTTATGGTTAAAATAAAAACTTGTTCATGTAACTTAGCAAAATTGGGAAATAAATTTATTGGGGTTATTATGAATCACGAAAAATGACGCGAAAAACACTTGTTCAAGAAAACTTGCTGTCACACACATAATATTGTCACTAGCGACTTGCTACGACTGAGACGGCGTGGTTATTAAATATGCTGTCTAGCCAAACGTTGCTAGTAGGGAAATATAATTATAATTAACAGAAATTTAACGATTTCGGAATATACCCGTTTTCGGAATTTCCCCACTGCACCCTACCTAGTAGTCTTAATCGCTTAACTACACATTACTTACATTTGCTCAGTTAAGAGAAAACTCAATCAATTAAAGACAGCATGTACCTGTGTCCGACCGATCAAATTGAGATTTACATAACGCATATACATGTATCTATAACTAAACTAAACTAAACCCTTATACATATACTAGCTGTTAACCGCGGCTTCACCCGCGCGACCAAGGGAATTAACAATGAACTTTTATTATACACTACTTAGTTGACAGTTATCATTACCTACATTTGTACAATTCACACAATATCTTAATATATTATAGCCTATGTGTTATTCTGATGTATAAGCTATTATATTGTTGTAACGTTTCATTAAAATCTATTCATTTGTTTTTGTGTGAAAAAGTAACAAACATTCATCCATACAAACTTTCACCTTTATAATATTAGTAAGGAAGTAAGGACACGACTTATTTATAACGAAAACATTCACATACATACATAAATACATGGGGTTTTGTCGTTTTTAAATTTGACTTTAAACTGTGGATCTTACGAATACTAGAACAAGAAGAAAGACATTCAATTTCATACATGAGATGCAGTAGACTGTGTTTCTTGTTTCTTTTGACATGATAACGAAAGAAGGATTTGCGTTTCACCATATATTATATTTAAATTTGCACGTATACTTAAGTAAATTAAAGTGTTTTAGTGTGGTAGGACCACGCAACTGTTTCCACTGTTGCACGAATGGCCAGGTCCGTCCGGGTAAGTACCACGACCTCACAGAAGACCGACGTAACGTAGAAGTGTTACACTTCTGCGTTTTATCTGGTGTTCTACTAGCAACGCATTTGTAAACCTACGGGTGTTGCAAATGTCCATGGGCGGCTGTTATCACTCAACATCAGGAGAACCGCCAGCGCGTGCGAAAGTGGTTTCGCATAAAAAAGTATAGTATCGCAATTATTAAAAAAACATAAAATATTTTGATGTGTTATACAAGTTGACCAAAATCGTTAGTCTAATATCTATTAAATTTATTTATGTTCAATGTATTTGTAAGGAATTCTCCCCTACAACAGTTACACAGTTTATCAGTCCTATTACGTACACTGATTGACTCTTCATTCTTCTATAGACAGTCATCCTATCCCTTGTCCTCGCTAGCAGGAGCGACCCACATTGCTTCCAACCAGTGGACCTACCACGGGCTTCCAACTCTTGTAAAAGTCGTATTGATGATTGAGTAAGTTTCACTTGAGCCAATGAAGGCTTGAAAGCGCCAACAAGTCCCGAAGCATGCCAGCGGCTACCGGCGCCTACTCTGAGTACAAAACATTGGTCTCATTAGATCAATTATAAAAAACCGCAAAGTGCGAGTAGGACTTGCACACGAAGGGTTCTGTACCATTCATCAATAAAAACGGCAAAAATCCTGTCTTAAATTTAAACATTTAAATTTTATTCAGTTATTTATTTATATTTTGTTACAGCGGGAATATGACTACATCATTTGTGAAAATTTCAACTGTCTAACCGTCACGGTTCATGAGATACATCCTGGTGACCGTCGGACAGACAGACAGCGGAGTCTTAGGATCTTGATAATAGGATCTCGTTTTACCCTTTGGATATCCTATCCTGGGAATCCTAAAAAAGTTAAAGAAAAGGCTAACAAAACCATCATTTATATTATGATAAATATACATATTATAATAATATTGGTCTAATAACCCGAGAGAGATCGACTTTCATCAATGTGAGAAGAAGATGAGACACATTTTTTCTGCAATGTCAAATGTCATTATGATATTAATACATGAGCTCGCTCTGAATTATGATTTCTGGAATCGAAAACTGCCGAACTATAAGTACTCCCGAGGCCGTGCTCGAAAATTGCTCTATTGGGACCGGCCAAGACGATTCTCGCGATCAAACCTGATATCGTGTTAACGCACGGGGCAGTTCTGGTGGATAATGTCCACCAGAACTACCCGGGACTGTGCCTTCCATATGACGAGAACCTCGTTTAAGCCGAAACTGACGAAATATCTGGGCACGCCTCGCGAGGTGACCGACATGTAGGGTGGCGTGCCGACCGAAATTATCCCGATAGTCGTTTCCGGGAAAGGGTTAATCCCAACCATCCTCTCCTAACGTCTGAGGCGACTGGAACTCAAAGACGAACTACTCAGAGCTCAAATGCAGAAAGCTGTGCTCATTGATACCGCCCGTATCGTCCGCCGGTTTCTTTCCCTTTCAACCTAACACTCGGCCGTTTGGTTTCTCTTGGCACTGGCTTCCGTCTGGTTGTGTCCTATTTATTATAAACTAGCTTTTCGCCGCGGCATGTAGTACATGTGGGCGGAGCTGTGCATTTATATCATGCTTAAAAAGTAGCCTTCCTTAATAAATGGGCTATCTAACAGTGCAAGAATTTTTAGAAACCAGTAGCCCCTGAGATTAGCGAGTTCAAACAAACAAACTCTTCAGTTTAATAGTATTAAGTATAGATATCCTCTTATTTTTGTCCTATCACTACTAAAAATACTTTCTAGTGCGGTTCGATATCGGCCCGCCGATTTCTTTTTCATTTTCCTGGTTCCTGGCCCATAACTGTTAAATGTTTAGCAGATCCAGGGATGAATCGAACCTAAGGAAGTTGAGTTCAAGGTCCTTCTAACAGTACAGAAAAATTCATGTTTTCGAAAAGTTATAGCTTTTTACCCCACCTATTTGTCACTCACTACCCAGTCCTGAGGGGGTGGTTTTCACTGATAATGGTGTGGAACCCTTCGTGCGCAAGTCCGACTCGCACTTGGCCAGGTTTTTTTAACTTGATATAAATTAAATATACCTGAATATAGTTTCATTAACAGGTAACTATAGTTTCATCTAGCATACAACTGTAGCTATTATATAGCATTTTATCGCACAAATCTGCAATTTGGTTCTATAAGTTGATATAACTTTTATATTTATGTACTGAATAAAATAAAACTAATAAGACTAAATGTTAAGTGAAGCTTACTACAATGCATTAGTGATTATTGTACCCAAATTGGCTAAGTCTTTTCTGAGATTAGCGCGATAAAACGCACAGACATGACACACACAATAAAGATCAGATAAACAGATAAATTGACAAACAGACAAAAATTTAACAATCATTGTTTTGGGTTCTGTTGTGTAGATAAAGCCATATAACAGATTTTCTCAAATATCTTCCATGTACAGACAACAATCAGTTACATTTTTGTTAATATATATAGTTAATATACATCTATATGTTTGTTTTTATTCATAAACCCAACCAGGTGAGAACATAAAGAACCCCCTAAACAATAATACTATTAATAAGCTTTATTTGTTCCATAGTGCTAGTGTTTCTTACTCTAAGAGTTATGTTAATTTTTATAAAATGAGATTTTATATAGATATTCTTTTGGGTAAAAGCTTCTTCCATCCAATGCTATTTTTCCCTGTTATTAGCTAACAGCATACAACTTTATCCGGTGCGACCTCTGTTATGGCATCAACCCACCATCTTTGTGATGTATCTTTCTTTCTTTATCCTTTAAGCCCAGACTTCTTTGTTGTTTTTAGTGCCCATCTTATACCTTGTGATATGGCCCGCCCACTTTATTTGAGATTCATCTCATATCATAGCTTCTGGTTTTATGTATTCACTCCTATTAACTTGATGAATTATCTGAGATTAGCGAGTTCAAACAAACAAACTCTTCAGTTTAATAGTATTAAGTATAGATATCCTCTTATTTTTGTCCTATCACTACTAAAAATACTTTCTAGTGCGGTTCGATATCGGCCCGCCGATTTCTTTTTCATTTTCCTGGTTCCTGGCCCATAACTGTTAAGTGTTTAGCAGATCCAGGGATGAATCGAACCTAAGGAAGTTGAGTTCAAGGTCCTTCTAACAGTACAGAAAAATTCATGTTTTCGAAAAGTTATAGCTTTTTACCCCACCTATTTGTCACTCACTACCCAGTCCTGAGGGGGTGGTTTTCACTGATAATGGTGTGGAACCCTTCGTGCGCAAGTCCGACTCGCACTTGGCCAGGTTTTTTTAACTTGATATAAATTAAATATACCTGAATATAGTTTCATTAACAGGTAACTATAGTTTCATCTAGCATACAACTGTAGCTATTATATAGCATTTTATCGCACAAATCTGCAATTTGGTTCTATAAGTTGATATAACTTTTATATTTATGTACTGAATAAAATAAAACTAAATGTTAAGTGAAGCTTACTACAATGCATTAGTGATTATTGTACCCAAATTGGCTAAGTCTTTTCTGAGATTAGCGCGATAAAACGCACAGACATGACACACACAATAAAGATCAGATAAACAGATAAATTGACACAAACAGACAAAAATTTAACAATCATTGTTTTGGGTTCTGTTGTGTAGATAAAGCCATATAACAGATTTTCTCAAATATCTTCCATGTACAGACAACAATCAGTTACATTTTTGTTAATATATATAGTTAATATACATCTATATGTTTGTTTTTATTCATAAACCCAACCAGGTGAGAACATAAAGAACCCCCTAAACAATAATACTATTAATAAGCTTTATTTGTTCCATAGTGCTAGTGTTTCTTACTCTAAGAGTTATGTTAATATTTATAAAATGAGATTTTATATATCTTTTTCTTTTGGGTAAAAGCTTCTTCCATCCAATGCTATTTTTCCCTGTTATTAGCTAACAGCATACAACTTTATCCGGTGCGACCTCTGTTATGGCATCAACCCACCATCTTTGTGATGTATCTTTCTTTCTTTATCCTTTAAGCCCAGACTTCTTTGTTGTTTTTAGTGCCCATCTTATACCTTGTGATATGGCCCGCCCACTTTATTTGAGATTCATCTCATATCATAGCTTCTGGTTTTATGTATTCACTCCTATTAACTTGATGAATTATCTCCAAGGATCACCTTCATGTTGAAATTTTTTTTTTTTAGGAATGTTCGACTCCCATTTATTAGTCTAAGTAAAATAAATGCATTCATTGTTTTTTATTATTTAATATTAAATGGTTATCGCCTATTACAATTTCATTGTGTCTAAAATTTCTTCCAGATACAGTTGATTCTTCTATCTACTTTATCTTCATTGCTATTGTCATTGAAAGATATTAGTTTTCTTAGGTACAGATATTCTTTTTCATTCTCTATCTGGCTTCCTAAGATGCAGATTTGTTTCATTTCGTGATTTTTCCTGACTTGAGTTTTGTTTATGTTCATGTCTTACTGATTTTTTTTTCATTATCTAGAGTTTGTACTATTTGTTCAAACTGAGCTACTGATTGAACAAAAATGAAAATGTCATTACGAAATCCGGGGTTACTTAGATGTTGGTCTTGGACCCAAAGTCCTTTCTTTTTCCAGACAAAAATTTATAAGATTAAGTGTTTTATTCCACTAGAAATAATTTGGGTGGCAGAGTGTAGCCTTGTCCAACCCTAAATCATATATATATATAAATAGATATTTATCTCCTTCCCCTTGTTTGCTAGTCGTTAATTGCTTATGCTTTTTAAGTAGTTTTTTTAAATAATGTTTTAATATAAGTTGTGTTTATTCTACATGCTGCAAGGGCTTTCCAAATTAAGCTATGAGTTATGCTATGAAATGTTTTCATGTAATCCACAAATCATATACTACGAGAGCAGATGATTATATTCTTTGTAATTTTAATTCAATTCTATTTTCATTTCTTTGGACTTGTTCTTTGTACCTACTTACAGATTCCAATTATCAATTTATTATATTTATTATAATGTAATCACATAAGAACACTATTGATTTCTTGAGTTCTAATTTGATTATCAAGCTTTGTGTATTAACTTTTAATTGTAGTTAAAATTGTACTTATATTTGACATATCTATGAGTTTATTGAAGACAAAGTATATCAATAGCATATTCCAAATCCTCAATGTTTAAATTATAGCTAGTAAAGTGGTACTTGATTGCTGTCATTTACCTTGTTTTATAAAGGTTGGAACATATAATGAAAAAAAAAAGTAACCAAAGATCTATTTTTTAACCAAGACTTATGCCTTTATATATTTTTGCATATTACAATTTTTAAATAATAAATAATGTAAATAACACTTTTATATAGCCTCTTTTAATTGTGCTAATGAAGATCTTTTGTGGTGTTGGAGATAACTAGCTTTTATTCTTTTTAGACAAACTGCATTATAAAAACAAAATGATTGGATAAGATACATAGATCCTTCTTTTTTATAATCTACAAAGAGAGATTAGAAAGAGAACAAAGCTATAGATTTATGACATGATTTTCAATTAAAATTAAAACATATCTTACTTTTCTTTTTCTATAAGGATAGTCTTGTCTCCCCAACCACGACGTGCCAAGTGGTAAGCGACTGCAGATCCCATAACTCCACCACCACATATCACTACCTTTGCTTTTCTCGGCAATGTGGATAAACACCCACTTAGAGTCTCTCGCTGGTCTAAATTATCTAAACTTGATAAAGATCTAATAGAAACCCCTGCGACGCTATACACCCTATATTGTGTGACGCCGGCCCGAAATCGATTGGATAACATCGTAAAGCTTTACTGCGCAGATACGAAGCGCTACTGTGCCGCTGAAAGTACATGAATAAAATCTTTACCATGTAAAATATTAAGTAAATCTTCAATAGAGAAAATTATTTTGACATCCCTCTGGCTGTCTGGGAGATCAGTGTTGCCTAATAATTTTTTGTATCATACACATTACACAATATATAATAAAAGACATGGTAATTAATTATTCGAAATAAATAATTCGAGTTCCAACATTTTGACTGTAGTAATATTTAATGTTTTTAAAACACATGTTCAAGTATTATTTCTCTCTTATTCTCTCAAGTAGTATTAGTTCTCTATTATTTCAAAACTTTACAGTTACAAATACAAAATAGGGAATTAGTTTGAATAAGTATTAAAACAAGCTTTTTATCCAATTTCATATACCTTTGAATAAAAGCCTGTTTTGTAAAGCTTAAAAGTAAACTTTGACACCACAATGATTTTAAGGAATGTCAACAAGTTTAAAAACATTCTATTAAAGTTCGTTTTTTTTTACTTTTTTAAAAACTGATACACTTAGTAAGAACACCGATATTTTATTTTATTCAGTTTACTTTAAGCATAACATTTTTATTTTTTATAATTAACGAAATCACTCATTTTGGTTTGATAAATTACCCAATGAATTTTTCGGTATTATTTACTTTTAAACACAGATAACAGAACCTTAGAAAACATAAGTGGTCAATATTTCCATGGTAGCATAAGTTGTTTACGTTGTATGCTGCATTGTAACTAATATTTTACATCAAAAATTAATATTTTTGTCTAGTTTAATTACATTTTATAAATGTCTATAGTTGAAATCACGCATCACGATGAAGTTATTTATAGAATACTTGATAAACCTCCCCCGGAACCACCGAAAACACCAAGGTTTTACCAATTAATCTACTATTAATAGTCTAATATTTTAAAAAAGTTTTTGTGTAACTTTGAAATTTATATAATGAATAACTTTTAAAACAGAGCCTATAAAACAAAAAACAGTTTCAAAATTAATTTAAGAATTTGAGCCTGCTTAAATATACGGTAATCATTGCAAATGGGCAACAGTAACATTTACATATACAACAATGGAATATACTAAATGGTACGGATGTGTTAGTTCACTATTAACTTTTTTATTATTTATAACAGATATGAATCTAAATTGGAACGGCAGTTAAAAGAAACGAAAATAACTCCATTAAAACGTACTTTTGGTTATTCTGAGACGCCTTTAAAGCCCCCTGACCACTTTTTGAAAAAAGGTGAAGGTATGACTCAGAAAACTAAGAAATCTGACCACAAATGTGTTAAAGGTAATCTTCCCCCGGTACCTAAGCGACCACCCCTGGAGAAGCCTACAGAAAAATCTAAAATAAATTTTAAAGTAGTGAATATTAAAAAAGTTTTAAGAGCAAAAGCAAAAGCTGTTGAACCAAGGTAAGAGGTTGACAAAGCAGGCATTAAATTAATACAATTTACCTATTACTTTATTAATAATTAATTTTCCATAAACATGTATTTGATATATTATTCTCGTGGTTACTCATTTCAAATAGCTTGAAATAATGTCTCAAATGTTTATTTATAAATACTTAGATTAGTCGATACAAGAAACGGGCACATAAAAAAGATCAAAAGTTCTGGGGAAGTGCCAGAATATTGCCTCAGACCAGATTTCGGTCAAATGCCAGGATATCTAGTAAAAAGAAATAGGAGAATTCAGAAAGAGCTAGATAAAGTAAAGTATGCTGAAGAACATAAGAAAAGTCTTTGCAAGCTTATTAAAGAGGAGGAGCGACAGAAACTTTTAGACGTACGTGTAAATCCTTAAAAATATTTCTATCCAATAAAATAAATCACAATGAATTACGCAGATTTTTGTCACCACTATTAGATCTAAAGCGTTTATTCATTTATATGTTTCGATCGATATCGGTTATTTCCATGTGGTAATCATGGTCACGGGTCATTGTACCAAAAGTTTCATTTACTAATAACAATATACTTTAAAAAAAATATGCTTTCAATGATCAGACTGAATTATTGATTAATTGATAAAATTATTTTTAGGACCTTAAGCACAATTGGCAAATAATGCAAAAAGCATTCCTACAATTGCCAATGCTTACCGACACAATACCGAAAGTTCTGAAGAAAACTAAAATGGAGCAAGAACTTCGTCAGCTTGAAAAGGATATCGCCTTAGTGGAATCAAATCCTTACATTTATATCTATGAGTAGCAGGAAACAACGATCAGAGCTTTTTTCATTACTTGTTTGCACTTCATGGTTGTGCTTGATCCAAGCAAATTTTTGTTATTTGATTCATCAACTATTATATTTTAATTATATGACAACCTGATTTTCTTTAGGTACCCTAAGTATTATTTTAGTATGATCACAATAATATAAAAATATTAACATTCTGCACTCCCCTATACATATATAGGGGATATAGGATCAGTGGTGGCCAACCGGTCGATACGATTGCCAACTATTAGTCCAGTCGACGTAAGGCAAAAAATATAAATACGTAGAACAGACTACGCAATTAGCTAGCTAATCACAAACTGCTGCATGCATCACCTCGTATCATTTTTCTAATTGCCAAACATTTCAAATGGACCTTATGATAGTCAAAACGAAAGTATTGTTACTCTGCGCAGAGACATATTCCTAAAAGCAAAGTCAACGTCAATTGGTTTCCAACGAGAAATATCCAAATTTGAAGAAATGCGTTGAACAACTGCATTCGTCTTTTGGTTCAACATATTTTTGTGTCAGCATTTTCCTACTAACGTTCTCTTTACAGACGCTCATACATTAGATTCCTTAAGTTTGGCAACAAGTTTCCAACTACAAACCTGATTTTGCTAATCCAGCATAAGATGCTCAAACGCAATAGTGTGCATTAATACATTTTTTTACCTAAATAAGTTGTTACTCTCCCTCTAAACAAAATAAAAAAACTACACAACTGTGTACTGAATAATGCCGTTTCATTTAAGATTTTAAAAATGTAATTGTAATTGGTAGATCGCACAGGCTGTCGTCAGTGAACAGTCGATCTTGCGTCTATTAAAGTTGGCCACCCCTGCTCTATTTAATTATATTATTATTTATGTTTTAGCAAAAACTTTGTACCCCTTTTCACGATATTTTCTTGAAAAAGGATACAAAGTTTTTGCTTCACTTAGATGAACTGATGTATCAGCTCTGATTGGAACTCGCACGTTATAAGTACTCGCTTCTTTCCCCACTACCTGTATAACTCCTACTCTCAACAGTGTCAACCTATGTCATTGTCACTATGACACTGTCAATTTTTTAAATTGTAGAGATCACTATTTTTTTGATCTTTTGGCCGGTATGAAATTTATTTATTAAAAACAATTATTTAAATTATGAATTCGTGACGATATGAAGCTTATTGCTTCAGATTACTTTGGCCGCGTTCCACTAAGCGCCCACAACGATCAAAATGCTCCTTTGGTCGTTCCACATAACGACCGCGGTCGTTGTGGTCGCGGCCAAAACGTCACTTATGACGTCATGACTAACGCTCACGCGAAGCTCACGGCGACTTATCTAAAAAGGTGGGTCGAAGTGATCGTTGAGAAAATTGGCGGCATTTTCAAAATTCAAAATGTCTAAGTTCAAAGTGTCACCGCAAAAGACATTTTAATTACATTTGAACGTAAATTAATTAAATACACCACTAATATTAAATATAAAAAATTAAATTATAATTTTTTTCAATATAAATCGGTTTAAACAATAATTATTTAACATTAAAATAAGTGCAAAGATTAGCACTATAAACAATTTAAATTTCTAAAAAAATAATTATTTAAGTTTATTTTCAAGGCTTACAGATTATAACCTAACCTCTTAAATATTTTGCTTCCTTTTTTTCTATTTCGCCGTTTGTATTATTTGCCTCGACGCTCAAAACGCTCTATAATCCATTCTACTTGAGTTTACAGCAGTAACGCTCACAAGCAAGTGGAACGGGAATAACTGCGGTCGTGAGCGTGATCGTTGTGGGCGCTTAATGGAACGCAGCCTTTGTAGATCGATACAGTTGTCATTAGCGAAGCCAATGGATTTTCATTCCGCCTAAACAAATGATTTATATTATACTAGTAGTATAAAACGTATTGGTTGGACGCAACATACTTAATAGTAAAGTATAACATCCAATTCAAAATGTTAAAATGTAATTATATGATGGAAATAGATAACATTAAAACTACAAATTAAATTACACATGTTTCTTACATTACACTGCTTTTAGAAAATAAAATATGACATTTAAACATTTTTATTCTATAAAAGTTACAATTTTCACAAAATTTTGGATTTTATAATTATAAATATTATCTACTATAGGTAGCTTAACAAAATGTGTATAGGATTGAGCCTTGCACTATCAATTAGATATGTTTTCGTGCATAAACTTTACCCTCTATTAATTTAGATTCTGTGAATCACCGTCGTCAACCTATCATAAGGAGGAAAGAAAAGAAGTTAACTATAAACTGCTTAAAAATATAGAAAAATTAGCCTTTCTGCTAAGGTTCAATCCTTCACTTTTTACATTGTGTGTACACAACAAAAGATGTTAAATTGTATTAAACATTTACTTTCATTGATCATCAATATCTACAGAGTTATAAAATTTTCCAAAACAAGAAATTTTATAACACCCATTACATATAAAACTGTAATGTAATATTCATTTGTAAAGATCACAAAGCAAAGGAAATGATTGAATAAATTTAAGAGATAAAACATACTGTTAGAAGGAGAGACTTGTAATACATCATTGTGGCAAGGAATGAAGAATTCACTGAATGTATGAATTAGCCACTTAATAGTTTTATTGGATGTTACAAATTTTGTTACTTTTTATTTAATAAGTGTGAAGTGTTAAGCGTTAGACATGTGTTTATTTAAAGTCGCGGTTGAACCTAATGCATATTGGGTATTCGGCATATTTTTATGTATAAATTTTTATGTGCATAAATGCTCCATTTTCAGATATTCATTGAAAATTAATAAGTTGAAAAAGTATAACAAAATTGTAATTAGATAAGTTGAAAAAAATATTATGCGCTGCAATCTCTTGTGGTTACTATCACAATTAAGTTGGAAGCTTGTATTTTTCATGAAGACTGTGGACTAAATTCACAAAGATCTTATCATTAAACTACTTTATTTTCATTAAAAACTCGGAAGTAACTTACATATTACCTAATTGTTTAAACTTCTTTTTAGGTAGTTCTAATCAAAGTATCGAATTGATTTACACTTCAAATAAGAATAATGATACGCATACTATAACAATTCTGTCATGACACAACATAATAACTAGAAAAAGTTTATTAAAATAGAGATATTGCTTTAATATTAGATAATCCCAATAAAAGGTAAATGCACGAAATCTCAGTGGTTTTGCGCAAAAACGTTTTATTTAGAAGACTTAATTAATTCTGATAATTATATTTATGTATTCCTAATAATAGACTCAAACATAGAAAAATATTTTTCAGTTATTAATTTGACATTTTTAAATTTTTTATTGCCATAAATCATTTTCGTTGGATTATTTGGAGGGAGTTTTAAAGAGAAAACTTTCCACATTGTAATGATCTTCTATTGGATTCTTAGCCAAATTTTCAACATCAAAATTCGGTGTTATCATAAGCAAACACTGAAAACTTAGGAAAATTCAGTGTACACAACTGTTGTCTATAAAGCAAATGGAAGTCTTCAATATATGTGGACAGAGCATTTGAAGTCTTATCATTTCAGAATAAAATTATATTCCATCAGCGCATTATCCTCCTCACAACTTTATGAGAGTGAGGAAAATGTTTACAAATATTTCTATTATTGCTTTTCGAATTTTTACGTACACTTATCTGACATGCGCATTAATTATGAAGTTAAACTTATTTCAGGGAGATTAATATGGTAGATTCATACTAGTTCTTCATTAAATGTATGTTTGGTGCATAATTCTTCAATATACCTTTTATTATTTCTCATAGTTTTATTATATATCATAATTAGCACAAAATCAAAGAATTTCTTTAAAAGAGTTTGGAACATAGTCTTTATGATAAAGTTGGTTGCAAAACAACAGCTAATATTTGGCACAGAGATTACACTGAATTAGTGTCTTTAAAATATGTAATAAATAGTAGTATCAAACAAACTTTTCTAATAATCAATAGATCAAAGGCACAGAAATGTTTTCTTCCTATGTAAGTATACAGGAAAAAAATACTTTTGTTTTGTCTATATAAAACATTTAACTTACTGTTAACAACACAACAATGTTTAAAAATTGATTTAGGCCATCAAGAAATCATAAATGAATAAAAATATAACTAATATTATTCTACTTAACAGAGAAAATTGATCATGACATGAACTAAAACATTAACAAGTTCCTTTCAAACACTCTATTTCTACTGTGGCTATGGAATTAACTTTTATTTTTGGATACAGTTGACAAAGTAGAACTATGAAGATACAAAATTGTTTTTAGCGATAATAATACTGACATGCTATTAAAAATATGTAATTGGAAATATCATTGGTTGGGATACATCACATTTTTAATCTTTGATAAGTTTTGGGTTTGGCTTTAAGTCACAATTATATCGAAATATTCTTGTCATAAAAGGTAACCCTAATTAAAATTATGTAAGTGCAAAAATTATTTCAAGGTGCATTCAATTTTAAATAGAATCCTGTTACTATAGACCAGTTACCGGTGAAAAATTGTTCTACTATATGTGCACTCACTTAACCTTAGGGTAAGAGTATTAAATGCAAGACTGTACCTAAAGTGTAGCATATATGTACGGAATTAATTGCGAGACTTGAATTATAAAGTCTCGCTAATGAATAAAAAATCTTATTTAACTGTGTGATATATGCTAATTGGAAAAGTATGTTAGTACGAACTTCTTGAAACCAATCATTTAGCTTAAACTATGTGGGATCACAGAGTCGTCGTCATTGTCTTCAGTGAGAAACACTTGCTGCATCTCCCAAACAAATTCTGTAAGATCTGACTTAGGTGATGCTGAAAAAAAAAATTAAAATTAGATTACTGATTACACTCGAGACATACATAGTAATGCAGATCCTCATTAATTATGACTAATAGTTAATTATAATAGGTACTTATATTTGAACTGTGAATTCCCTGTAATATAGTGATTAGTCCATATAATATCTCATTCGTTGGTTTAAAGTAGTCTACATGTCCCACTGCTGGGCGCAAAGGCCTCCTCTCTACAGAGGGTGTCGGGGCATGTTACAGCACGCGGCCCCACTGCGGATTGGCGGACTTTGTATATCTCGAAACTTTTTTTGTAATTATTTCGAAAATACGAGTATGCAGGTTTCCTCACGATATTTTTCTTCACTACAGAGTGCGTGATAAGTCGGCACTTAGAATCAAGAATCTCATTGGTGCCGGTAATCTGAGTTCCATTCCCGATCGAACTCAGGTTGCTCGATTATATTGAATTAAAGGCGAGCGCCCGGACACTGCTCATCATGGCTCCTTTTTAATGGACTTTAAAAAAGAAGGTTTCTCAATTCGACCATATTGGTATTTTAAATTTTTTTATGTGTGTTCGCGGATAACTTCGTCGTTTATGAACGGATTTTGATGATTCTTTTTTTGTTGGAAAAGAGATATCCCAAAGGTGGTACCATGACAAGAAAACCCAGAACTGATTATGGTATCGCAGAGACATCGAGCGCAATCCTCAAATGTTATAACTAGTTAATCCATGTTTTATAGTTTCCGGTTTGAAGTAGTTTTTCTTTATTAAAATTGTAGTTTCGGTTTGATACCATTTAAAATTTAGGAAATAGTTTTATCATCCATATCATTTATCCATATCAACATTAAGTATTTATTTAATTTTTATTTGAGACGGTGGCAAGCGGGCAGGGGGTTCGCCTGATGCTAAGTGATAACCGCCGCCCATCGACATTTGCAATACCCGTAGACAAGTCTGCATCGCAGCCACCTTTTAATAATGCGCCTCGGCTACCTCACTCACCAGACGAAACTCAAAAATGTAACACTGCCACTTCATGCCAGTCTTTTGTGAGTTCGCCGTACTAACCGGACGTTTCTGGCCATTCGTGCAACAGCCGAAGGTGCTGCGTGGCCCTACCACGGTTGCCTCATCATTTGAACTAATTGATATCGAGGAAGAACTTACATCTTAGCAGACTTCTTAGCCAGTTTCTGATATATTGACCCTTTCGCGTTACCGGCTGGACCCTTTGCGAGTCCAGAGGGTCCGCGGGCGAGTGTGAACTTTTTGTCGCGTTGCTCTGGCCCTTCAGGCTTCACTGTTTGACCTCTGCGCAGATCGCGATTCGGTCCATTCCATGCCATGTAATCTTCACTGGAAAATAAATATATTTTGTTTTATTTGTATACAGGATTATTTGTAATTAGACGTATTACCGTTAGAAGGTGATAGGCGTGAATATTCTCGATAATTTAACCCCCCGCATAATGCAAAAATATGATAAATATGAGTTATCATAAATATTTTAGCTTTTTTTCAAAATAAGTCTGAAATGCAATATCAATTTTTTTTTATTAGTTCCTAGTTATAATGGATTGTTGGAAATCTAAAAAAAACGGCTATATTTATGATGTAAACAACCGAATATAGCCAAGTTTCATAAAGTTTTTTTTGTTTTTAAGATATGTCTATTATGTGGAAAAAATCTGTAAAAAACCAATTATTCAGTGTGAGAATCGAACCCACGACCGATGGCGACGAAGCCAATGGCTTAGAAAAGCAATATCGAGTCATTTAAATTCTAAGGAAAATATTTAAAATACAAACTGCTATAAAGTAATATATCAGGTTCCTATAAGCGGGATGTGACAGGCATTAATTGGTTTTTTCGTTCCTTAAATCGAACTTATCATGGCTTTCATTGGAAACAAGTATGTGCTGTTGCGCATCAGACAAGAATTGAACACTATTTATAATTTTCTCGGAAAAAAAAAATAGACATACTTACAGAAGTAGTTCGTCCTTAGGCCCTTGCCGCAACGTCGGATTAGGGCCGATATTTTGAGTACGATACTGTGACTTATATTTTGAATCGACGCTGGTGTTTGTTTTTAATATTGGCCTAAAATATTTCAATGGAAAACATTAGCCGGCAGTCATAACTATATACGACACTATTTCACCTCCGTAAGTCCTATTAGTGGTCATTTATGTTTTTCACTAATTTATAACACTAAAATCCTCTACAGTTCTTGCCTTACGACAGAGGTCAACTAGCGAATGGATACGCTGCAGATTCTTGCGCTCATTACGAACGTAGGTACTACTAAATTGTGCTATTGATAAACTAGGGGGCTTGTAAAGGGTTCAAACAATAATCATTAACGATGCTAAAGAAATAATGATTATGACAATGACTCTAATGATGGCTAAGTAATGATAGTCTAGATAACACGCTACACAGGAACACGCTAATCATTTTTTATGTATTCGCATTTAAACGTATCCTTTAACTGCAATATTAAGAATTTTTTATATAACTTGTATTTAAGTAAATGACTGGATAATCTTAAAGAGATGGTTTTACAAACCTTTAATAAACCTTTGGATCTATCAATAAATCTTATCAAGCTGACAGATTTTTTGTGCTGCGCATCCGTTGGTTTTGTTTCACCACACTTTATGGTGAGCTTTATAGCAACGAAGTATGCTTGCCAGTTTAAGCTAACCAATAGCTCTTTCCGCTTAATGCGTGCTTATACCCTAACTTCAGTTCGTGTTGATTGTTTTCCAATGATGCGAAGGTACCGCACTAAGACTTAAGACTTTAAAAAAACTAGTTAACGATGGCTAAATATATATTAGAAAAAGTATAAAGCTACATATTTTATATTTGAAAAAATTTTCGGAATATTTTTATACCTTTTCTTTGTTGAAGATACAAGTAACGGTTGACATTAAATTTAAGAAATTTTGTACTAATAAGTAGCAGAAATCGATGCTTGAATCGTTTAATTCACGATCGTAAAAATATACTAAGTTGCTAACGTTTAACTACGGTCGCTAAGTAATCAGTTATTGACATACCGGCCCTCAGATTATAAAACACACATAAATAATTAAAACAGAATGCCAATGAAAATGTCATATTCACACCAACATAGAAAAAAAGCTTTGTCGTGCGAAAAAACTAGACAACTTGCAAAAAAATAACTCGTCTTTATAAGAAGTTGGATGTTTCAACTAATTTTTTTTTAATTTTCTATTTCTAAAACTGCATTATGAACTTAATCAAGCTATCGTTGAATTAAACATGCGTCATAACATCGAATGCGCGCACTAAACAAACATCGATGTAAAAATCCAAATTTCAATTCCTTCCCGAATCACTACAATTTCGAATAACTCGATCGGGCGACAGTCCTACAGTGATCCTAGGTTGACACGTCGAGAAGCGGTGACAAAGAGCGTGCTCCGTGTTAGGGGATAAAAACGAGCATACTCATACTGCACTTAGCATACTCATATTGCACTTAGCATGCATGGACGTACTTCAAGTGCTCGGTCCAGATCTTGAGGCGGCGGGTGGCGGGCGCGGGGAGCGGGCGGCACGGCGGCTGCTCCACGCCGTCGCATACACTGACCGTACGGAGGGGGTGAGCGATGCTACTCGGGCGGGATTGTACTAGGCTGGAGCCTCACGTTGCCCTAGATCCTACGACCTAGCCTAGCTGGCGACGGTAACTTCTTACTGTGTACTTACTTGCAAACAGTTCAATTTGATTTTGTATTAGGTTAGGTAATATTGCTTTTGTAAATATACTTCGACGATTTTTGATAAAATGCATATACCTAATTATTTCGCGGCGTTCTTATATGCAAGAAACACAATAATTAACACAGATTCATCCGCCAAAATCCCGTTACAATCCCGCGCTTGTAAGAACATGTAAATGAAACAGGGTCACGCGAAGATTGATGGATTTGTAATTATTGAAATAAACTGAATTATTCTTTCAAATAACCAAATAACGCATCAACCATCAGTATCCACGCGATGACCAACCGTGAGAAGCTAAAAAGCAATCGGATAAAAGGTTGACATTGGTATGCATCTAAGATGTGGTATTTAAAAACATATTTCTTTTCTTTAATCATCCATCTATTGTTTATCGCAGTTAGGGTTTTTACCGAGAACACAATTAAATCGACAGCTCATATATTTGTTGAGTACCTATTACCAATTGGTGAACTGTTACTTAAAATGCAAAATGTTTATCTTCACTTCAAGTGTAAGGCACGATAAGATTACACATGACACATGAGTAAGGCACTATAAACATTAGATGGCTGATGATCACTTTTGAAAAAGATTTTAATTCCTATGTGCGATTTCAAACATTTGAAATAATTACATACATAGTTCAAACTTTATATTTCTAGGAGTTATTTTGATTCATACTGAATATTTGAAGAAATTGCAGATAGAAATTTAGGGGGACCGGGAGGGGGGATTGGTGATGAACCTTCCTGCATTTCTTTTAAAGAGGGAAGCATATTTCAATAAAATTATCGAGGTATAAAATTAGTGTTGCACAGACTTTAAATGACTCAGGAAGGTCAGTGATGCTCCTGAACGTTATACTTGAATATTGGGATTATATATCGATTGTTACGTTTTTAAAAACTTTCTCTCAACTTAAGTTCTTGAGCCAAGCGCGCGGTTGATACTTACCCCTTTAAAATTTCTACGGGGCTAGGACGCCGTGTCTCTTTCACTTCTACAGTCTTCGTGACTTTCGGCGCGTCTTCTTCTTGGACCACTGCAGTCAGTATTTGTTCGGCCCTTGCCTCGTTGAAATCTACACTCTCCAAAGCGATTGATATCACACGTTCCGCCACGCCGTTGTATTTCTTCTGTAACTTCTGTTTTACTGCAATATTGGAGTTAGTTAAAAAATTGCGAAGAATACTAGAAGTATGATTAATGGTTGTATTAATTACGAATGTGAGTGTACTTTAGTTGCCGGGTGTCACGTGCCTTAAAAAAACATCTTAATAATTGAGATTTTTGCTTTTGTGTGTTTTTGATTCTTTGCTCAGATTTGATTGCGTATTGTTCTCTTTGACGTTCGTTAAAAAAACCTTAATAATTCAGATCCTTTGGGGGAGAAATTAATATAAATTTTGAGATAGAAACATTCAAAACGGTTTAATAAGAAAAATTCTCGTGCCTTGTAAAACTAAGTAAAATTTCAAATCACAAGGTTGTTAATTAATCTTTGTTAAAAATGTAAGCAATACAATATCAAACTAAGAAAAAGCATTACACTTACAAAGTTGACGAAAATAGTATCAGTCAAAAAGTATGACTGATACTATTTTCGTCAACTTTTTAACATTCATGTGTTCAATGCTACGACAGAATATTGATGTTAGAACTGAAAAGATAGTTTATTTTTGCGGTGTTAGTTCTTATCTGGTTATCTGTTAACCTTTGACATTGTGTTCTCAATAATTTACAAATTGATAAGTTAATTTGAACGCTTCTACTTAAAATAACGGCTCATTAAATAATAAAACAATTACGCGAAATTTTTTTGTATTAAGGATAGATAATAAATTCACAAGAATAACAGCGGACGATACCTTGTAATTTTTTCAAAAACTCTACGGTAGTTAGCATGTTAGTGATGCTTTTTTTAACTAAATTATATGACAACATGCACATGTAAACGTGTTGAACAAACTTTCATAACAGATGTTATACAGTGAAGATATTTCTTTAATAGAATTAAGACAATTAAACAAATACGAGCGCTGCTAATGAGGGAGAAACTGGCACTGTTCATTGATCAATAGATGTTGAGATAAGTTGTAAGGCAAGCTAGCTTCTTATTCCCTCCATCAATAATCATCTATAGTATAAAATGGTACTAGTAGAAAGAGTTTGAAAAATGAAAATAATTTCTTTATGTCTTATTTTGTTCACATCGTCTTTTTGTACATACGAAATAGGCTTTAAGAATAAGCGAATGTTATTCAATTGTTGGTATTGTTAAAAATGTTAGAGTAGGAGCTCTCACACCACTTAGTTTAAACGGGATAAGCGACCGCAATTTCTGCCATTTAACATTCATTCTGTGTATAGTAATATTGCGTAAATACCTGGTTATGATACCTTTGAGCAAATTCTTGCATTCCCTAGACATTACAAATGAAGTCCTTTAAATAACCATATGCCTTCTCAAATTTAATCCATTAAATCAACCTTTTCCATTTTTCCTGCTCAAAATGCAAAATAATATTAAACAAAAAAAAAATAAAATTATAACGAAAGGAAATTGATAAGACAACAAACAAGGAAAGCGGAATCACTTACACTCCATTTTTTCTTCCAATGTTTTCATAATTGTTACAACTTTCTTTATGGGTTGGGGCGTTTCTTTCTCCTTTTTTTTATTTTGGTTCATCAATGTCTCTTTCTTGGTGAAACCCATGCCAATCAGATCTTCACTGGCCTTCTGAACGTTGTTGTCTTTATTTGCCAATACGTCTAAGATCAACGTCTCCTCCGCTTTTGGGAAAATACTTTTCAGGTACCTGCGCCCAGTTATGTCATTTTATTAGAACCACGCGTGTGAACTAAAGGAAGTAATCAAGTTAATCGACAGTTTGTACACCTACTTCAGCTTCATCTTTGGGGACTGGTGTTTTGTTTGGCCGTCGACAGCTTTCGCCATACCCATATAGCTTGATGCACCCGAAGCCGGTCGGAGAAAAAGTGGAGACCCTTTAACGAGCAACACGGAATACATGTGGACAGTGTTCGCGAAACAATACGGTCTCATCCGTAACAGTTGAAATTGTATTTATGAGTTAAGATTTATGTTAAATTGGTATATTAATTTGGTACTATTTTTTATGACGGTGGCCAGCAAGCTGTCAGTTCACCTGGTGGTAAATGGGAACCGCCGCCCATGGACATTTGCAACACAGGTGGGGTTGCAGATGCGTTGCCACCTTTTATTAAAGTGGACCCAGACTACCTACCTCACCAGACGAAACGCAGTATACCACTTCCACTGAATGCCGGTCTTCTGTGAGGTCGTGGTACTTACCCGAATAGACCTGTCCATTCGTGCAACAGCCGAAGCTGTTGCGGGGCCCTACCACACTCATCTCTCATATCACTCACATTGTTTAATTTTTAACTAAGTTTGTATATGAGCGTAACATGAACATTAACCACGTGTCCAAATTACAATATGGAAAGTTATAGATAATCTTGTCTGAAGTGATTACCATGAGGTGTGCCCGTGAGTGGCGTCAAATGGCTGGACCCTTGCATGGATGATCCACCTCTTGCGAGTTGGAGCGCCGAGTACACGCCCACTGCACCCTTTTGTAGTCGCGCCATTGAAGGTGACATACTCAATGGGCCTGGTGTAGTTATCGGATGCTTCTCTACTTGCAATGCGCTTATTACTACAGCTTCGCGGTTGTAGTACCTGGCAAAGTATCATCTATCATATTATCAACATTAATCGATGGTTGTGATAAAAATAATTTTATCAATTGAACTTAGGAAAATATAAATCAAATCTAGTTTATGCGTTTAAATATGGTTTCCCAAGTACTGACATTTCAACTTTATTTACACACTACATAAATAATGGTATATAATTGTTGAGGCTGATCATTGTTAACATAATATGGCGTACACTACCATTCTTGAAACCTTGGAATTAACTATTTCAACATAATAACATGGCGACCACGGTTTTGAGAGAATCTCCGAAACATTCAATTTACGACTTTATAACAACAACAATCCCACTACTTACTTTTTCAACAATATTTTGATGTGGGTCTCGCTGACGGTTGGGAACATGGCACTTATTTTGGCAACTAGGGCATCTGTGTCTGATGTGATGGTCAGAGAGTCTTGAAACTTTTCGTTTAGGTGGGACACACGGCCAGGGAGTGGGCTTCCACGGGGTGTAAGACATAAAGCCCGCCCAAGGATAGGACTCTCAGTTGGTGTGACAAAAGCTTTGCCATCCTGTAGACGTAAGTCGTAGAAATTACCAAGCATCCTTGACAAACTACACGAATCATATAACAAAATATCTACGTAAAAATGTCAACTAACACAAACAATTCGACGTTTTTAAGTATGACAATTGAAGACAAATAAATGCACTTACCCTTTGAGGTTTGAGTCCCTTTGGATGAAACATTTTCGGGCTGTTCTGTGCTGTGAACGCATGTTGTAGACGGATAGGAGAGGGAAAAGGGTGAACGTGGTAGGGGGAGCCGTGCGCCGACTGTGCATTCCATTGGTACAGACATGGAGGAACAAACCAAACTGTGAACAAGTGCAAAGGCTACACACATTGATGCACGCTAACATGTTATTGATCGTTATTTTATTTCCAGTGGCTCATTGTCACGTTGTTATATGTATATATATATATATATGCTTAAAATATTGTCTTATATATAATAAAAAAAAAATACCAATGACACTATGCTATATATAGTTTTCTACCAGCGTAAAGAGTATGTATGACAAATACTTTTGCGTTTCGTCTGGTGAGTGAGGTAGCCGGAGCGCAATTTTCAAAAGGTTGTCAACGCATCTGTAACCCTCGGGTGTAGCAGATGTCCGTGGGCGGCGGGATTCACTTAACATGAGGTGAACCGTCTGGTCGTTTTGCAATTTTTCACATAAAAAAAGTGTGCCAAAGATTTGGTTTCGGCCTGTTTCTAGCCAAAAATCTAGTTTCTCTATCTTTCAGTTATTTGAGTCGTGATAACTCAGTGTCCGGGCGCTCGCCTTTAGTTCAATTTACTCGAGTACACTGTGACACCAATGAAATTGTTAATTTTAGTGTTGACTTATCACGAGTTCAGGAAATGAAAATCGTGAGGAAACTTGCTCATTTTCGAAATTAACCAAAAAATATTTCGAAGCTATATTAAGTCTGCCATAGTGGGTTCACATGGTGGAATATGCCCTGATACCCTCTGTACAGAGGCGGCCCCCAGTAGTGGGACATTTATAAACTGTACCTTTATAGTTAAAAAATCGGCCACATTAAAATATTTATAAGTAATGGTGATCGAACTCTCCACTCTTTTAAAATTATGATACTACTTACTTATTATTGATACTGTTATTAGTCCAAGAGCTTTACGAAATCCGGCTGCAAAAATACTACACTCATCGAGTATATGCTAAAATACCGCGCATATTTACGATTAGGAGAATTTTTTATTTACCGTGTGACCGCAAATGTTTTTTTTTGTTGTAATAAAAAGAATCCTATGTCTTTTTAATACCTCTAAAAATATGTGTAGAAAGTTTCATGATGATGGGTTGATTAATTTTGGCTTAAAATTAAACTTGATAATGTTAGTTACGATATATGTAATACACTGCTATGAGGTATTTTTGTTAAAAATTAGCTAAAATCTTCGGTCGCATATTTTTCGAAAAATATATTTATTATTTAAAACTTGTTATTTTCATTAAAAAAGTCCGCCATTTTATTAATATGACTTCAAACAACGACTCTGATATTTGTAGCGATTAAAGTGATAGCAGCGATGATAGTGTAAGTGAAAGCTCCGATGATTTAGAATTTTAAATAAGAGTCACAAAATTATAAGATACATTTTTTATAATTTTTAATTGGCTTAAATGTTTAATTAATATGTAACAAACAATATTATTTCAAGCAGTATTTGGCACAATAATTTGTTTTTACTTAATAAACCTCGGTTTTATTGTTCATCAATTTTAGTTTTTCGTTTATTATTTTTTTGAAAAAGGAGACATTTCTTTTGGAGTCTTTATTAAGTTCTCCCTACTACTGTTTGAACAGGTGCGGTGGTTGAGGTCACTAGATGCGGTTTTATTAAATTAATTTTTTTTGGCACGATGTATCACTGTCAGCCTTTACAGATCCACCGGACTTCTATCATTATCATTACCACCACTTCAAAAAGAAATTCTTGCAACGCTTCTATCATTAACGGGGGAAAAGCTTTCAAAGAAGTAAGAGAACAAGGATTGGAATGGATACCTAAATTGAAAAATAACAGATCCAAAAAAGGAACAAACCGCAAAGAAACCCAGAAACTGACTACTGAATAATTCATGATCCTTATACTCAATTAAAAACTAGTGATGATGTTCCGGATATCCGTATCCGTAGCCGCGGATATCCACCGGGAAAAAAAAAGATCCGTATCCGTATCCGCTACATTTATGACGGATCTTTACCTTTATAATCGTAACTAAATGATAATTCTAATTAAGTAAATTAATACAGTGTCACAGACTCAAAATGTTTAGTTAAGATTATAAATACACAGTGACAATTAAAGGAACGGTAAATTGTACTTTAAAAAAGAGTTTATCCCTCAAAGGTCATGATAAAAGATAAATGTGCGAACAATACTAACTCCTCCACTTTTTAAGTACTGTTAATATGCAAATACTTTAGTGGATATTGGTCTCTTGATAATCGGATTACGGTGCTAGGGCCAGGCAATAGTGTTCGCTGTTGCACGAATGTGCAGGCCCGTCCGGGTTAGTACCACGACCTCACAAAAGACGGGCGTGAAGTAGAAGTGTTCCACTTCTGCGTTTGATCAGGTCATGGGCACCCTACGGATGTTGCAATGTTGAAATGGGCGAGCGGTTATCACTTATCAGGTGAACCGCAGTTCGTTTGCCACTTTCTCACATAAAAAAATATCTTTTTCTGACATATGCTCATATAGCTCATAAGCAAATTAGTTTTCGTATGCAATATTTTGCTTTCAGATCGCTCATCATTATAAACACTATCCAACATGTTAGTCACAGACTCTTCTAGACTCTGAAATAAAAATCATTGGTTTGTCCTTAGTACTTGATTTGTGACATTTACTTCATTTTCCAAAGTTGTAAGCAATTTTTTTATATTCCTTTGACCCGTGAGTCTAAAAATATGCCTACTTGAAACAATTTCTGAAAAACGAAAATCTAATTATATCCTGTGAATTAGACACAAAATCAAGGACGGTGGATACACTAATATTGAGATTTTCCTGGATATTAGGTTAAGACTCGTATCCGTATCCGCGGGTCTACAATTCCAATGATCCGGCACATCACTACTAAAAACCTAGAACAAGAAAATAACACCTACAAGAATCTAATCAAGAGTTACAAAGAAGTCCCACCAATACTCGTGTAAAAAGTTCAAAGTACCATCATGTCACAAAAGCTAGAAAAGCTGCAGGATCTGACAATGTAACAATCGGGCAGATGAGATGCACCATAGATGAAATAAGCCCAATCCTAACCAAACAATTCAATGATATCTTAAGAACAGACACCATCCCGAGACAATGGAGCGAATCCTTTATTATTCTCCTCCATATGAAAAGAGACAAGGATAACATCGGTAACTACAGACCTTAGAAAAATTTTGTACACATTTGAAGAGAGATATAAGTCTCACTTCAAATGTGTACAAAGTAATTCTGGAACGAAGAACAAGGGTCCTAGACGAAAACCAACTACAAGAACAGGCGGGATTCAGAATGAATTTCAGTACAATAGACCACATCCACACAATCAAACAAATCTTGGAAAAATACAATGAATACCAGAAACCCTTATATATCTGCTTTATAGACTACTCCAAAGCTTTTGATAGCCTGAACCATAAATATATCTGGATTAATATGTAAGAACAAGGAGTAGATGGGGCTTATATACATTTAATTAAATCCATCTACAGTAAATGCAAAGTCACATTAAACTGGAAACAAAAGGAGACCCATTTCCCATAAACAGAGGTGTGAGACAAGGAGATCCACTCTCTCCGAAACTGTTCAATGCTGTTCTGTAATACTTATTTAGATTACATTGGGAAAACTACGGTATAAACATTAATGGTAGCCGCCTTAACCATTTGAGATTCGCTGATGATATCGTCCTGCTAGAGGAAGACCCTAAAAACTAGGACGCACGCTGAAAGCTATAGCAGAAAAAACCAACTCTACAGAAGTCAAAATAGAGGTTAATGGACACAGGTTAGAATACGTAAAAGAATATGTCTACTTGGGACAAGTAATATCTCCGGACTCAATGTCCAAGGAATAAATAAAAGAATAGCCTGTGGTTGGAAAAATACTGGTCTCTCAAAGAAATAATGAAGAACAAAGATCTAAGCATGCACATCAAGAGAAAGACTTTTCATACTTGTATCCTCCCGTGCATGATTTACGGCTGCGAATCATGGGCATTAACTGAAAAGCATAGAGAAAAACTAGTACACAAATGGCTATGGAACGGAGCATTTTGGGGATCAAACTCAATGACATAATCAGAAATGCTGAAATAAGAACGAAAACGGCATTTAAAATGGAGTTGGACAGGACATATGCTACGTTGTAAACTAAACAAGTGGAGAAAACAAGTAATGTTATGGTACCCAAGAGAGGATACTAAAGAGACGAGGGCGTCCGAAAACAAGATGGAGAAACGATATCTGCTTAACCCAGGGGCCATACTGGTCCAGAGTAGCAGAGGATAGAGCTCAGACTTTCATGAAATTTAGTATGTGCGTAGATTCGGGGCCGAAAAATCGATCTAGCTAGGTTTCATTTTTAGAAAATGTCCTTTTATCCCTGTTTTCAGGGAATGAAAAATATCATTCGAATATGACGGTAAATTTCGGCCGGAAATTGGGCGGCCCCGAAACAGAAGGCTGCGGTTCGTGTCACGATCATTTACACACTTATTTATTTTACTTTTTTTCTATACAGATCATAGCTTTCTTTATTTTTATAATTTCTAAAATACACGATTTACCAAAAATAAAACTCCTCCAGTTACTTATATCATAATAAACAGAAAAAAAAAATAGCTTTAGTTTGTTTTAGAAATAATAAATGTACGTTATGAACGTAAAAACGTATCAAAATCATGCCTATTTACACCTGCGAAGAGGTGCGGCCAACTGCGCAACGGCAACCGTGATTTTTCAGTCTTCATGTCTATTGCCGTGAATATGACCATATTTTATTAAAAAAAATAAGTGAATGAATTCTTTTTCAAAAAATCAATAATAATATACGGCCACATTTTGAAAGGCAAACCGGTAGATAAATTATATTCTCCTAATCATAAATATATGTAAAAAAAGGTGGATAACTACAGGTACACTAACTTACAGGTTCTATATCACTTACGCCGATAGGTCCTTTAATACTCTCGACCATAAATTAAAAATAAACCAAACAAGTCAACTTAAGATTTGATGACTATTTGTTTAAATATTTTGTTCTAGAAAATGACTACTCTTACTAATGAATTGTCTACGATCTCGAGTATACCTCTTGATTGAAGCGCTCTAAAGACTTCATTTATTACTTCGCATAGGTTCCATTTTAGATTGCTTGTGTCGTGTCCCCGACAATTAGTCGAGTTGTAAATCTTTCGTCAAAAAGTGTATGTAAGGTCGGGGAATAAGCCTTTTCGCATTTTGTATGTATTGATGTTGTAGTAATAGTTCTTTGGTTGTACTCTTTATTACTATTACTTAATATAGAAAATCAAAAAGAAGAAAAAATAAAAGAAAATTAGCAGAATTTACTATTTATCAATTGTTTTTCCCTCCACTAAAATTCGATACATTTTGAAGTTGTATAATATACGGCGTGAAGTGTAGAATATTATACTTCGACGTTTCGTCTGGGAGTGCGGTAGCCGGGGCCCACTTTGTTAATAGATGGCAATGCATCTGCAAGCTCACTTGCCACCTTCTAATATTAAAAAAAAATCGATTTCAAGAATTAAAAAGCTTTTCTTTTCCGAACTGACACCCGGTTTCTCAAATACTGATCATTGTAGAAGTCAACTAATTGGCTGTCAAATGGCTTTTCAAATGATCTCTTATATAGTCGGAATGATCTTCTTAATGATCAGAATAATCAATTCAAATAAGTTTGCTTGTTAGTTAACTTCTACATTGATTAGTGGTTTAGAAACTGGGTGTTGGTGTTTTGACAAACAATAAGTAAGTGTAATGCTTCTATGATTAAATTCGTCAAATTAGAAATCTTGCAGAGTCTGGAGGCAATTGATGTGTCTACAGTTGGCACAATCAGTTCTACTGCCACTACAATCAACAACAATATACAATGTATATGCTTTACAGACTTTCTTTAGTACCAGCCTCCTATAGGCTTATAAACACACTATTCATCCTGGTTCACTTATTTTTTAAATAATACTAGTGTATAGTCTACTTGTACTTCATGTATCATATTATTAAAATAAATTAATAAACTGCCAAAATATTAAAAAGAATAATTTTTATTTATCAGGTATCCCTCAAATGCTTCACTTTATATTTGCATGGCACAGATTTATTACTTTTCTAGTCCAAGCTTGTAACAAATGGTTTATGGCAGAGATATAATAATAAATATGTTGCAGTATAAAATTCCATTCATACCACAGAAATCTGTTGGATGTCATACATTGAAAATAATTTCCCTCCATTTCTGTCTAATGCGAGCCCATAAGGGATACTAAATGCACACAAACTTGAGAATATATTGCAAGCGCCTGAAACAGATGCCCTTTTGGTTTGTAATAAAAAAACCGACATCCCTGTTGGTTGTCAGATCAGAGACAAGCTACTTACAAACACACATTGGTCAAGCTAAATATTCACAGCATTGTGCCTTTGGATGTTTACTAAGATTTAGCAATTGTGTAAAGTAGGGTTTAGATATAATAAGTAAATCAGTTAATTAGTCTGCAAGGGTGTCCATCTCATGCATGCTATTTATATTTTTTGATATCTTATGGGATGTCATGAGATATCTTATATTTCCCTATTGAATGAATTGAATTGAAATTGAATTCTTTGGCATGTTGTAGTTTTCCTATAATTGTCCTATTTTCTTACTAATAACAGTTGTAGCATATAATTACTGTAATACAATATCTTTCTTCTTACTGCAGTATATTTTTAAGTTTAACTATGTTTTAGTCCAATAAGGCAAAACAATTATAAACATTTTCATGTATAAAATATTTCATTTCATAGAAGGTTTACTTATTATAATTTTTTTTACTTTCCTATTTATTAATTGAAATATTGTTACAGACCGTTAACCTGATGTTCAGGGATTACTACTGGACACCCATGGACGTCTACAGCATTGGGACATTTATAACCATTGGTCATCAGAAGATATGCTCCTGTTGTGAAAATTCTATCTAGACGATTTGTAACATATGAATGTATAGCGAAAATAAATTATTCTCTTAATCATACATACCTGTGGATGTATACACTCCATGGCAATATGGTGCGCAGCGTTTTGTATAGATTTATGTTTTAAACGTATATCTTCCATTGTGAAATAAGAATATTAATTCACTGTGATTACAGGATATTTAAATATTTTCACTTAAGTATCCATTACGATTTATAGATTTTGGTATTTGTTTAAAACGTATTTCACTTTTGTACATACCTACAATTATGTACTTTTTGTTTTTGTTTATACTCACCGGTAAGTAATGAAATTGTATTATTTTGTTTGCACAATGCACATAATAATAGTTATGTAAAATAAAAATGTCTTTTTCCGTAGCACTACTTTGAGTATACACTTGAACATTTAATTCTGTAGGGTAATACTGCGCAAGTCAATTAGTTCCGAAAAATCAATAATAGCAATACTAAATAAAAGTAACGTTCAAGTTTAACAAATGGTTAATATTTGTTGAATATATTGTTTTCGTATTATTTTTATGATTATTGACTAGGCATTGCTACAGTCTGTTAAATATAGATTAATCCGCGGGGCATTGACAATGATCTATAAATATATACGATCAATACATTTCTTTCACAAAATGCACCCACTTAATAAATGCAGTGTAAAATAACATTTATGCCTTTAATTTAGTTTTACACTTCCTACTATTTTATGTTGAATTTTAACCCGAAAATATTACTAAAATGGAATCCAAAGAGTTTTCAACTATTATATTTTTCTAGATTTATGACATTCAAATCTGCAATCTGCATGTTTTATTTTTAAAGCGAATCACAGACTAACTAGAGATGCTTACGCATCAGACGGTAAACTTCCATAGAAAAAAAAATCTCTTTACGAATTTGCAACTATTGAACGTGACATTTGCTTTTTTTTAATTTTAGTACTGATTTATCGATAATCTTGTAATGAATACGAGGCTTTTCGCCTAGATTTGTCGGGCTCATAAAAGTGTGTCGTTTTTAGAAAATAATAAAATAGATGGAGAATTATTTAGAAAATAAAAGTTATCAATTTATTTATACATTTTTTTTATTTTTTAATTTTGTTTTATATTTTTTATTAATGCTTTCTGTTGCATTGAAGGCAAACATTTATTTTGCAACCTTAAGACATCCGTACCCTTAATTATTTTATTAATTATATTACACCAATTAAATACTGTTAATCTCAGACTTAATTCGAGAAAGCATTCAATCACAGCCTCCCTATGTATTTCACAATCCAGAAAATCAAACGAATATTTGGATTTTATTTTATTTTTTATTTCTTTTATAATACCCATTTCCTGTGGTCTTATTTCTAAATATTCATTTGCTTCCTGAATTGTATAGCCAAAACATCTCACAGCATTTTCTGATGGGTAGGTTAACTTTCTTTGTTTAATACTTTTATATTCCCTAAAAGATATCCAATCACTTGTTGAATTTACATCAGAAGTTAAATTTAATTCACAGTGTTTACAACTACTTTTATTTAAAATTTTTCTTATAACCCACCCTGCAGTATAGGCTCGTGAGTGAATATTTAACCTTTCTTGCATAGCTGTTATAGGGATACTCTGTACAAAGAGAACTGCACTCTGAAAGTTAGAGGATCCAGCTGAGTATGCACTCCCAGAATCTTTTTCAATATTTTTATTCATTTCAAACAAGGCCTTCAATTTCACCAGTTGCTCACCTGAATCCTCTTCACAATTATAACTTTCAGAGTGAAATTTTATAAATCTTGTGATTAAAAGTGATTTAAAGGTGTTTTTTTAAAGGTGTGGCAATTGGGATCATTGTTTCTATAATTATATGATCTTATCTGTCCAAAAAAGTTTTCTATAGGATCAGAATTAAAGTATCTTGGTCTCAGGACCTTTATATTTTTTTTTCTGAAAAAATTGCCACAACCTTTGATAACTTTTAAGAGTAACAATCCAGTTCTTTAATGAGGGCACTGATGTCTCTCTATTAGTTTTACTGTCTATAAATTTTATATTATTTAATTTCATTATGGCTTCATTCCAAAATATATGGTGTGGGGAAGAAGCTGTGACAGCTTTCCGGAGAGGTTTTCCTTTATTCCTTTTGTTAAATAAACTGGCTCCATTAACAGAATCAAATAGATCATCGAAGAATGAGACAACTTCGGCTGTATTCTTTAATGTTGAGCTTACTTGTGTCCCATCAGCGTAATGAGCTACAACAATAAGTAACAAGCATTAGTATTTTATGTGCCATGCAAATTTACAGACAATAACGATTTTATATTATAAAAATTCTTACAAAACTGAGCAGTGTAGGAGAGAGTAGCTGCCACTGTTTTGCTAAACACTCTCACACAATTTTTCACCTGTAATAAAAGAAACTTTAGTTAAATTTACATGAAAAATGAACTTTTAAAACATTGAAGTATGGCACTGATTACTGGGGTTAATTATGAGCATTAAACATCTCTAACATTGTGACTTAAATTCAAGGACCATAAGAAGTGGGATATTTTGGATTAGATTATGATAACTAGAAAAGTGAAATTCTATGATAAACAATAAAGCAATAATTACCTTCATCTTTTTAATTTTTTCTGGAATGACATGTTCATCATTCAATTTGTGTAACAATCTCATCTGAGCATGACTGCAATCAGTTTTGTATACATCCACAATGTCATTCCATTTTGAAATTTTATTTTCCAGTTTGATATCTTTCATCATAAAATTGTTTCTCAAACCCTTGATGAGGTGTGGTGGATCATGAATAATGCTGAGTGAATGTCCATTGATCATAATGATATCATCTAAAAATAATTACAAAATAATTAATTCATCACACATAGGAACATATCTTTGCCATAATTGTGTAACATAATAAATTTAATATAAAAATATATAAAAAAATAATTTTAATAACAAATCCGATTGCTTTTGGATATTATAAACAATACTAAAATGTGTATTACTAATATACTAGTGATAAGAACCAAAGCTGCCCATTGTGGTATAAAGGAAACTGATAGGAGGCTCATTTGCAAATGCATGGTCCAGCTACATTTCAAAATAACATACTCACTTTCAATATTTAATATACACAACATATCAAACAGCTACAAAATTTTCAATGTCAATTTTAAATGATTAAATATTATGAATGATTCTAAAATGTACATCATTTTTAAGAAAAGCTATTACTCAAACTCACCAATTTCTTCACCAAATCTTATTTGCTCCCTCCGTGTGTCCTCTTGAAGACTTTTCAGAGCAGATTGAAAGGCAGTCCCCTGATCACAGACTACAGCAATAGGTAAAAGTCCTGTATTTCCTACAGCTGTTACTACATCTTTGATTATTGTCTTTAGCTGAAACCCAGATGTTGCCCCCTTACAGAAATAGTAAGCCAATGGCTGTTGCCATTTATAAATAGATCCTCTTAGCATAAAGACAAGTGCATGGTCGGCAAAGTCATTTGTCTTTTCAGGAAGTTCAACAAATCCAATGATTGAGTCTTGTTTTCGTTCATATGTCAAGCCTGATTCTAATGCAACCTCATCAAAAATAATTGAGCAAAATATTTTATTTTCTTCCCATGTCTTTACCTGGAAAAATTAACACAAATTATTAAATAAATAAAAGAAAGAAAGAAAAATATTTTACATTGTATCAACTTCTGAAGAAAAAAAAACAAGTAATTCAATAATTTATAAATTAATACTCTACTGCAGCTATAAAAAGTTAACTTACTCAGCATTATGCTACAGTAATATTGCTGTAACGCTGACTGGTACTGAAAGTCTTACCTCTTGTTTTACTGCATCAAATACTTGAGCATTGATCCCTGCTTCAATATTTAATTCAGAAACCATTTTGTTTAGGGTATGTTTAGTGGGGAGGATAAATATTTTATGCAGGAATCTGTAACATTTTGGACTTTGCTTCAATATAGATAAAGCAATAAGTTTCTCTTCAGTAGAGAAGCGTCTTCCCTGGACTTTTTTTGTGCACTGCTTAATTTGCATCCACATAATTTTTTTGGCCAATGGATTCATGTTTTTAGTCAGTTTTTCAAAGGAATTTTCTTTTGAGAACTTTAATGCTCTACGAACTCTGTGACTAAATTCCAACTGCCTCTGGGATTTTACATATTCTTGGTAGAGTCTCGCACACTTTGGTGAAAGAGATTTTTTACTTAATACAACACGCCTTCTTCGGATTTTTAACTTTGGCGTTGATGGAATAACTGTGTCTGTAAAAATTTATGACCAGTTAACTAAATATTAGGTTGTTATTGTGAAGTTTTTTAGCAAAAATTTGTGTTCTTATTCATTGATTCATCTACAATTGGTAATCAATAATAATATTTAGACACATCTTTTACCTTTGTTGACGAGGTTTTCTGAGACTTTGTTTTCACAGCCTGAAGTAGAAGGCATAACATCAGACATCGTCTTTGTATAATCAAGGTATGTGTTATCAGAAGAAGCAGTTGAATAACTTTCTGGAAAAAGGAAATATTATAAAGTTTTGAATTACTCAACATTTGTCAAAAAGGCCATTAAAAGGTAAGACATTCAATTTTAATGTTTGAAAATAAATTGGCATAAAAAGATACACTACAAAGTATTCAGTAAAAATATAAACGCAAGTTCAAGGATAAAATAAATCTATGCTTATATGTAACTTAATATTTTCATACTGAACTTTTATCTTCATGAATGTATACAAAATTGTGCAAAAGTAACAGTAATTTGAATATTATATTACCCTTATTCTAATTGATTTTGTCTAATATTGTATCGACATTAGAAAGCAACAAATGTCTGTTTTTTATTAACAAGATAAGAGGCTTACCAGTTCCAGTTCGCATACGTTTCTTTGTAGGTTCACTTTTAGAGTAACTATGATCTTTATGCACCCTTTTTTTAGCATAACTATGCTCTAAAACAGCACTGTCTGTAATAATAGTATTGAATTTTTATTGAATAAGTAATAATATAGAATTTTGGAATAATTTCCTTCCACTATCTTTTAAGCTTAACACAATATACCCAGGCTATACTAGGTAGCTAACTAGCATATTGAAGTTCATTTATACACAATTTCTTTTTTCTTTTCTTTTGTTTTTTTATAAACATTGCCCTCACTTTAGGATAACATTATCCTGTGTTGTAAGGACGTTTTAAAACATAAATTGCACGAGGAATTTAATATGTTAGGAGTTTAATAGGTGGCAAATTCCTTTTCTGTTTAGGAGTTATCTAGGTAGGTTACCCTTTTACCTAGTGGCCACTTATCATCAGATGGATGGACTATCTAGCCCAATCAAACATCATAATTATTGGATATTCATTATTTAATATAATAATTATATCATATCATGTATGGATGACCACATAATGCTTTAAGTGTTTATTCAAATGTGTTTATTCAAAACTAAAACGTCGAATCTATGTTACATAATACTTTAGTCAAAAAATGTAGCATCTAAGCAACGTAAGAGAAAATATTTGTGATTAGTTAGGTAGTTACCGGAGTCATGAACAGTGTGCATAGTTTGCGGTATGCCACTGCTGATTTCGCTAGCAGAAAACAACGTAGGATATGCGCCAACACGAAGACGAGGCCTCAAAGGTGTCGAGGCGATGAACTTCTTTTCATAAATGCTTTTGACACACATGATGCTTACGAAGATCCTCTATTTTCATGTTTCGCAATCCTTCACAGTTAATACAATCTAACCACTTTTGAAGTCCTATCTCTGTCTTGGGAAAACGATATAAATTAATATCACTACGCCTGCTAGAACAATTCACAACACAACACTTGTGAAACATATTAATTAATTTATCGTTGCCGGCCGGTAGCAATGTCAAATTGTCAAAATGTCAATGTTAGGTTAGTCAAGCAAGGCGATAAAAGAAAGAAGTACGAGAGAGGGAGGGGGAAAACTGTCAGTATCATTAGTTGCAAATCCATAGACAATAAAGACTTAACGCGAGGATTTTATGTATTGAGATTACTACCCGTGAAGCGAATGTTGTACATGTAACACATGTTAAATAAAAAAATTATGACTAATAATCGACCCAATTCGAATGTTGTGATATATCAGAAGTAATTAAGGCAAGAATACTTTTTCCAATGTTTCAAAGTTTGGTTCAAAGTTCAAATTTTCCGCCATAACCTAATTGCAGAAATGTTTTCATTTTCTTCATTATGGCCGACAAAGGCGGAGGGCATTTTTGAGTTTTGGAGTGGTTTTGTTCATGTGAGTGAACAGAATTCGGTCGCTCCGTGAGGGGGTATTTCGGGGAGGGCGGAAGAAAGCGATGGCGGAGAAGAGGACTTCGGACAACGTCGTTATGCCGGACATTACCGAAGTATCCGAACCCGATCCGCTGGCGACGGAGACCGAGCACGATTCCGATCGCACAGATGGCCGTGCCGCCTTGGCTAGCGAAATAAAGAGCGCGCGACTTTCTAGTGATTCAAATGGTGTGATTACAGTACCGGTATCGTTGCCAGTAGGCACACTCATAACGGGCACTACATTTAACGTAATTACCTCCGACCAGCTACCACACTTTAAACCTATGATATGTGTAGACAACGGATTTATATCGGGTGGACCAGTTACGGAGGACATAAAAGCCACGCATATAGTCATACAAAATCCGTCCTCACCGCCTGCCCGGGAACAACCTCACTCTGATGCCAGTTCAAGTTCCACACCGTCAACACGCACTTCTAGTGCACGATCATGGACGGAAACAGCAAACATGCCTGTTCTACCGGTTAGGTGTAAAAATACTTCAGCTGAGCTTCACAAACAAAGGTTTGGATCTGGGGGTCGCGGCCGATGTATCAAATATGGTTTGGAATGGTATACGCCGAGTGAATTTGAAGCTTTGTGTGGTCGCGCATCCAGCAAAGATTGGAAAAGGTCCATTAGGTTTGGTGGTAGAAGCATACAAGCTTTAATTGATGAAGGTATCTTGACACCTCATGCTACTAGTTGTACATGTGGAGCCTGTTGTGATGATCAGTCAGGTACTTTTTTCTACTTTCTTGGCTACATTTAATTGTTGACTTTCAATTTTTTTTTTGGATCTTTTTATCTTAATTTTTTCTAATAATTTGAAAGTGCATAAAATAGTGTTTTTTCTATTTCTAAATACTTTTTATAATTTATTTTCATTTAATTACACAAAAAGTTGTGGTTACTTAGTGCTATTAAATAATAGCAAAATGAGATACCACATGTATATATGGCCATAAATTATGCACAAATTGTTTAGGATAAAGATTAAGTTAAAGAAATATAAAAGAATCATTAAAACATATCTATAAAATTAAATCCACATTAACATTATCATTTAATAACATAAGATTATCATAATATACATAAATATATATATATATATAAGTAGATAATGAGACAAATATTATTGATAAATATTAACAACACATATTTAATATTCACAGCAATGGGCCCCATTCGTCTTTTTACACCATACAAAAGAAGAAGACGAGCGATTCAAGAAAGTGATGAAAAGAAAAATAAGATAAAACGTGAAAGCATCCTTGTCGAGAATGATGTAGATAATATTCACCAAACAAGCAATAACAGTCATTCTAAAGAAGCTTGGCAGTCTATTGCTGAAGGCCTGGAGACTAATGCAGATTATCAGCTCTTAGAAAATTCTGATACCAAGCCTGAGTCTGCCTTAGGTGCAGACAAAAGTATGTATTTCATTTTTTGTGTCTTTGATTGAGTTGTTTTGTTGAATGTTGAAGAATGTACTGTAAATTTTTGATTTATATAAATGTGAAAATAGTGATTTTGAGAAGATATAATGTTGTTATTTTTTATCTAAGAGGTTGAAGCAAAAGATGATGCAAGCCATGTCATTCAAATGTGCAATCTTATGTTGATCCATGCTACTGGGCCATTTATTTTTCTTTAATCGTAACAAATGTTAGATAATGATATGACTTCATATATTCCAAATTGATTGATATTTAAAGTAATAATAATAATGTAGAAATTCAAAACTAATCACGCCTGTCAATTTACTATAGTTCACTGCTGCACTTTGCTGGATCAAAGATGTTCTGACAAATAGAGATGTTTTCAGCAAAAGCTCTTTGTTTATTGCTTCTTGTAGATATAGATGAAAGCCAAATAGAGATAGCATGCAGCAGCTAATATGAAAAGATTATTAACAAATGGATAGTAATTTTTGTCCACATTAAGATTTGAATAGTTTTCAAAAATAATTCTGCATAGTTTATTAACAATATTGACATATTGTTTTTTTATTATTTTGACACATTTTGTATAGTATTTTATTGTAATTATTGCATAGGCAACATATTTTATATAGAAGCATTGCTAAACATTTTAAAACTTAAAATTTTTGCATTCTATTCAGCATGTGATATTCTATTTTTTTTATTAAATTCTAGACAAATAATGTTATATAAAAAAAGATAAATATTTAAAATTACTTGTAATTCATTTAATACATTCATTTGAACTTATCTCAAAAAGTGCGTGATTTATGGGCAACTCATTTATTTTACGTGTAATCATTCATATAACTAACATGCACGCATGCAAGTTCGTTTCAAAAGTATATGCAGCATTTATGAATGACTACCGCTATATATATGGTTGAATACACAGTATCTTAACATTTCTTGCACACATTAAGTTTTATTACATTTTTATATGGTATAAGCATAATAGTAACATAAAACAGCATAACAGTATAATTTCACATTAATTATTGAGCCTTTAATGCAGTTAAAAACATTTATCATAATTGTTTAACAGCATTTACTGATCTTTTTTAATATCATTATTTGATGTGATTATTCATTCACCTCAGAACCAATACTCAGTCTTTGAAAGACATTAATATTTGTATAATGCATAAAAGCGATATATTATATGATAAAGCATGTGCCACAATTTTATATTAACATAACCATTACATTTCTATTTGCTGGCAGATTTACTGGCAAGAAATGACCTGCTTCGCGATTGTCCACCTGCTAGCCAATCAATGCGAACAGGATTACGTACAGTGAGATCTAAAAGGTTCACAACATCAATGAAAGACGATGGTCCATCCAATATTACCCTTGGTCAATATAAATTTTTTATTGCAAGGCGAAATGTTTAAATGGATTAAGTTTAATTGTTTTTATTTGCAAATTCCTTTCTATGGCCATCAAATTCTAAGAGCTTAAAAAGTTATGTTTTTCCTTTATTATTTTGCTTGTATATTTTATAGTTTTACTATGTATGCTGTTCAGTGTGCATGTTTATATATATGTAGGGCATACCTATAAACCTTTATAGCTAGACAAATGATTTTTTTTTTGATAATTGTGCTATTGTGTTGCTTTATGTTAAAATCAAAGTTAATATATAGCAAAATAATTTTATTAATTATGACATACTGGATTTTTACTCTATAAATCCTTTAATAATATAATCATGTGCAACAACATTGCAGTATGTCCATTTGTATACACTATGCCTATGTTAGAATCATTATTTTTTTTTAATTATTTTACTAATTATTTTTTCTTGATCCTCTATCATATACTAAGCGATAAGGTATTTGCCTATTTTTAACCATTTAACAATAATTTATATGCAGTAAAGTACTTTAAGAACTTTTCCATATTGTTGAGTTGTTGTGTAGCAAGAGCAAACAATTTTCTTTAGAAAACTATTTTAAATGAATTATTTATAGTTTATATATAATTAAAGTAACAGCCTATATAATATGTCCCACTGCTGGCAAAGGCCTCCTCAGCACAGAGGGTATTAGAGCATAGTCCACCATGCATGCTCACTGCAGTTTGGTGGAATTCACATATCTTTAGAAATATTTTGTTGTTATTATGTCTAAAAATATGCAGGTTTCCTCACGACGTCTTCCTTTGCTGCTGAGCACTGAGCAGGTTTCTAAAATTAATTAAAAGAGGGAGCACACGGGCAATGTGCTATCACGGCTATTAAATCATGCACATATAGATAATTAAAGTATATTTCATGAAAAAATGACGTCATTTCGTTTAATAGACTATGAAAAGATGTCCATGAAACAGACTTTCTGCTGTATGCTTTATTAAAATATTTGTGTAGTTTCCAGTAGCACATAGGTTTAGATGTAAAATACTGTGAAAATATTTTTTTGACCTTATAGGCAAATATCATATTACTGTTATCTAAATTTAATGTGCTTTGCGAGGTATACATTTGTTTATAAAATTAAGCATCATGTGTGTGTCCACAAAATGGTGTTTGTTTAATTTACAGGACTTGTCACGACAATTAATTTACGAATTTGATTAATGTGCAGTGTTTGTCATACTTACAATCAGTATGTTAAAAATGCACAACCAATTAATTTTTCTATGAATAAAACTGTACTAAGATAGTATTGAAGGTCTTAAATAATGAGCCAAATATAAACAAAGTACCAAAAGCACCACCATATATTTTAGAGGTATCATTTTGATTGGTTCTGCTAAATGATTTCTGCAAATGTAATACAGTAACAGCAATATGTTATTATAAAGCCTAATAGATAAGTCTCTTACCTCAGTACAGGGAAAACAGTATTTATTTAGAAACTGATATTAGCGGTTTCGACTTATTTGTCAGTCACCACCTGCCATTGTTGTTGCATTTGGTTATTATCTAAAGTTATCAAGTACAAAAAAATTATCTTAACTCATCAATTTGTCCTGGTAGCATAAACAATTTCACTTTCAATGTGTTTTAGGCCCCCCTGATATGAGTGCCGTGTTAAAGCGCTTAGAGGACATTGGTCAAACACTTGTAAGAGTTGCTGGCGAATTGAAGCAGTGCGTGGAAGACGTTAGAGTAATTAGCAATAGACAACAGGAAAGGTTAGAGCAGGACAGGCAATCTGCCTTGCTAGCCGCTACTGTGGAGACCCAAGGCGACCCAGAACAAGTGTCCCTGCATAATGTAGAAGATACCGAAGCCAAAAAGGTTGGTCGCATTCACAATTTCTTATGCCCCAAATCTATATTTACACGCATGAATATCGAGAGCGATTAACATCTGGTATAAGGGTTGACTGGCGCAGCTCTGCTTTCCAGTTTCCAGTACCCCCATCTTTTATATTTTTCTTTAATAAAAAGAAAGCTGTCTCTAGTTATTGCATTAAGAATATTTGTACAAAGTTTTATGATAATGGTTTTATGATAATGGATAATGGTTGGGTAGTTTTGGCGTGATTGCGTAACAAACTATATTCACTATATTAACATTATAAACATTTATGTTTTTTATAATATATATATATTATTATTATGTAGTGGGCATTAGGAATTACATCGCACAAGCGCGTTTTACACATGCTTATAGTAATGGATTATCTTTTTGCAGAATGTGGTCATGTTAGCAATGGTAGCAGCCCGTTCGTCACAACGCCAGACCTTCGTTATGTTATGGAAGCTGAAAGTATCTCTGTGCATGTCCCCAACACAGATAGAAGCAATAGGAATGAAGTTTGGCTTTGGCAGGAACAGCTAGCAGAGCCATGTAAAATCGTTTTTCAAAATCATCTAAGTATACCATAATATTTTTTGTATTTTCTACAGGTTGATATAAGAAAGTATGTCTTCCATTGCCAGGCATATTGCTAATCTGCCAGACAAACTAAAAAAGCTGGAGCATGCAAAGTGAGATAATTTTTGGAATCATTGAGATATTACATCAATTATGTTTTTTTTAATTACATCTTAAATCTAAAAATTGTTACGAAATGTTTTGTGGTTTTAAATTTCTCTCATTTTTAAAATCGTTGACTTAAAATTTTAATATTTTACTATATTTATATTGTTTATTATGACTACAGCAAACAATTGTTGACATATTAAGAATGAATTTGTTAATGAAAGATAATGAAAAAATTTTTGTTATAATATGGTATACATATGCAAAATTAATAAACATGGTTACTTAAATGCACTATTGAATTTACAGATGAATTTAATGGTTTCAATAGTTTTTATCATTGATATCATTGTATAGATTGGTTTCAATATCACTTTATGTGTTGAGTTTGTGTATAAATAAATAAGGAGAGGATATTTTTTCTGATAAAATTGTCAATGAAGCACTGCCATAATTTGGTCAACTGCTGTCTGTATTCCTTTCATTATAGTAAATGATGCACAGCAAAATATCATTACAGAAAACATTATAAATAACACATGGTGAGAAGTCTATTGTTATTTCACTCACATCCACCAGTATGCCTATTGCCTTGCTGTAACTTTCAATTTGTCTGAAAATATGTAAGAACTATGGAAACACCTACATGTGTAGATCACCAAGTAAGATATAAAATTTAGCATGTATACCATAATTTTGTACTACACAATTTTGAGGATGTCTAGCAAGAGGATGCCACAATACTGTCTGACAATGGATAACATTATTTCTAATATTATCCTGAAGAAAATATAACAATATTACGTTTCATACTAGAGATTTTGGAGTGGTTAGAATATTTCATGCATTTTTGCTACCGTGCTTGCCAATGCCATGATGATTTAAATTTTATAGTCTGATAATTCCTACATTTGTTGATGACTTCCAGCTTTTATAAACTATTCTGGGTTCTGGCCGTCACAGATCACTCTGATATTGACTCACTCTGATTAGATTATTAAGATTTTATATCTTTTCAAATATGAATAGGATTAGTTGTCTGCAAATTGAAAGACGTGAAAAGGTGTCGTGTGCAAATAAAACGAGTTTTCGTATTTCTTTTACCATACTCCGTTTGTGTTAATGGTAAAATAAAATGAGAATAGAAAAAATATTTTGAACTATTTTAAAAAAGAGCCAAGTGCTTTACACTTAATTTTTGAGTTATTTGGACATTGTAAGTTCGAGTTCTATTCTTATTTGAAGCTAATAGAAACGAGGCTACTTGACTTTGATTTAAAGTAAAAAAAAAAGTAAAGTAACAACCAACTCGAAAGAAGTAGATATATATACGAATACCGCAACGGCGAAAATGTTTCTACGATTGTCGAAAAATTTTCAAGATATCACATTATAAGCATCATATTGGCTGCCAAGACTAGATTTTAAAATTTAGTTTATCATCAACATTTCCTCTAAATAACCTTAGATAAATTATTTTTCGGCAGTGCGCGAATTGCAACCGGGAGGCGTCAGCGGAATGTTCTTTGTGTCGTCGCACGCCGTATTGTTCAACATATTGCCAGAAGAAAGACTGGACTTCACATCAATTGGAATGCCTCAGATCTGTGCCTGCAATAAACTCTGATAGCCAACAACATCAATCAATTATGTTTATTGTTGAAAGTCAACACCAGTAAATGTTACGTAAGGTACGTTTTTGCGGTTCAACAAAGGTCCTATATTAAACTTAGAATGCCGATGAGTTAATTTGCTTGTGCTAATTTTAGCTATACTTTATTACAATACTAGTCACATTTTGATTATAATGAAGCAGTTTAACAGGTTTTAATTTTACTTTAGAATTTATCGGTATATATTTATCAGTATATAGTAATTCATTTAATTTTATAATTAAAGTGGTCAAAATATGATATATAATGTAAAACATTTTATTTTCTTATGGGGATACAAAACTTTATTGTGTTACTTTTTAATATTGAAGAATAATTTAGATTAAGACCATTAATTATTCCCTTTTTTTCCCTCAATCCTTTTTTATTAATATTAGTTAAAATAAATAGAACCTGTTAAATTTTTGCTTGTATAGTTTACACCTATTTTTTTGTTTATAACAATTAGGCAGAATGTAGCAAATTATTATTGATTACATTAAAATAAATTACATATACATAAAACATAATATACCACATAACCAAAGTGCTTTAAAATCAATTTGCTTCAATAGAGGCAGACATCATTCAACAGTTGCTAGTAATTAAGTTTACCTGCTTCTTTTAAATATACCTTTTTCCATCATTTGGGACCTAGTAAATAGTGTAAGTAATACAAAATTGTGTTATACCTAAAAAAACATTGCTCAAGTGTAAATTTATTTATTTTAATATAGGGTAATATACTAGTTGTTGGAAATTTAAGAATATGAGTATGGAATTTGCAAAAATGAATGAAAAAAGTTAATAGTTTTTAGTTAAAAGTTTTTTAGTTTTTTTAGGTAAATATTAATATTTTTATAAACTCCTTTATCGACATATACCTTATTAACAAAAAAGTGTGTGTGTACACACAAACTTAGGTACATGTGTTAGAAGTTATACTTCCTTGGCGCACCAAGATAAAAATCTTTTAAAACATTTCATCTTTCACCTTATTCTACGTTTGTAGAATAAACGACAACAGTTACTACGAATAACAGCTATTTAATACATTGAAAGATATAAAGTTTATATATCACAAATTAAAAATCGTGAATACAGTTGTCTCAGTTCTCACGCAAACATATGTAGATGTATAGCTAATTTCAGGGTGTCGGTTTTACGTGACGGTGTGCACGCTGGAGTTAATTTTTACGATAAAAACTTACTCACATAATTTTTCCATAACGCGCCAAAAGAAGTATAACTTCAATAATTCTAATCATACCCACTAAAAATATGTATCTAAAAATTTAGTCATTGGATGCAAAATTTAGTTATGGTACAGTACTTAACATTTACAACATCCAAAGAGATCAATGGCTATAGTTTCAGGTACATGTTTTTGGTGTTTTTTAGACACATTTTAGGGAAATAATAAGGAACTCATATCACAATTGACATGATTGTTTGATTTGGGTGTTTTTGAAAAAATTATAAATGCACTAGTGGCAGCAACATTATTTTGAGTAGTCTTTTTGGTTTTAACTTTATCTATCTATTGTTTTTTCTCATTAAACCTTTTAAATATATATTCTTCTCTCAATTTGTTCCTTTGCTCTCTGCAGTTCCATATATTTTTATAACTTCTGGTCATTCAATGTACTGCTATAATTATTAGAAACTGCAAGGGGCATTTGAGTATCACTCTTTCTCTCTGGTGTTTTGGGAATTAGAGACATTATGGGCTATTTTTAAGATCATAGTTTGCGGTGGTAAAGATTCAGCTTAGGGAGGTGTTCTTTCGTCAAGGCTTATTATGGATTCTGGTAGGGTGTTCAATATTGCATTAATTTCACAATCAACACTATTAGATAAATTTTTCAATTCAGCTTCAGGTTTTGTTGGAAAAACTGATTTATATTTGATTATGATCTGTTGCTGGCAATTCTGTAATCACTGATACATTATATTAAAATTTACAATGTGTTTCAATACAATAAAAATATGCATGGACCCGTGCCATATTGAGACATTATAGCTATCAAATTTAAAAAAGGTAGGGTCATTAAAGCTGATACATATTTTTACAACAATATTTCTTTTTAATCAGAATCTCTGAGCAGTCATTATCTTAATCCTGTCCTCTCTTCATCCTCTCTGCTACTTGCCTCCATAAAAATATTTGGGCCATTAAAATATTCCATTGATTGATATTTCAAAAATACAGTATTACCCAAAAATAAGACATACTCAAAATAATGATGTTTACTTGCTACATTCCTGTTTGAAATATTATATAAATAGTACTCATAATAATATAGAAACTAGTAGTGTTTAAGAGGGCATTGATTTTCATTGTTTGTATTTTATTCGTTTCAATTTTGGAAATTCATTGGATTTGAAATACTGATAATACATAAAAGTATTATCAGCATTTTGAATAATGATGAAAATGGTTCTAAGATCAAAAAAAATATTTTTCTTGAGAAAATTTCATTTTGGTGTTCAATTAATCATGAAGTTAATGTTAAATTTAAATCTAAATGAAATAGTTGTAACTTGTTGGAAATACCTAATTATTATTTTCATTTTTGATTGTTATGAATTTTTGAATAAAATTATATTGTAAAAGATTTTTAAATCTATGTACCCTTATGGGTACCAAAAGTCTCCAATGTTTAATGCATTTATTTTATAAATTAATTTTAGACAATTTTGGTTTTCATAGTGCTTCTTGAGGAAAATATTAATATTGTACTAGCAACACTGATAAAGGCGTAATGCTCTAAAAACATTGCAAATTTTGGTATCTTCTGAGAAATTGTATACATCTATTTCTAATAGCTCAAGAAATGTTATGGAACTTTCAAACGACACCCGTTAGAAGAGGCCTAAGAATGGTAAATGGAAAACTTCACTGATTGCCATTCCGTTGCACAATAATTTTATTGTTTTTCAGGGAATATTCTAGCACATGATTTTCAAAAACTGTATTGGCGCGAGTCTGGGAGTTAAACACTGAACGAACATTACTGTGCTTCATTCATGTGGGTACGTTCAATATCGTGGTTTAAGGGCGCTTGTGCACATTATAGAGTTTTACGTTGCCGGCTGTTCTTTTTTTGACTTTGCGGCGTTCCGATGGCTCGTATGTACAGTTTGGCGCGATACACCACATTTTATTGTTAGACATTTTTTTATAATGCCATTCCGGTCCTGCGAAGCTATATGGTAGCAAGCCAAAGTGCGGCCTGCTCTTGCACTAAGCCTCCAAACAGTATCATTAAATTTAAGTATGATGAGAGTTTATTCAATGCTTTAATGGTATGCCTTAGAAAAATAATGGCGAACCAATTCATGAAACATGTCTTTATTCAATGCCTTTAAGCTCCGCGCCCCAGCGATTTGTTTAATTTGGCACGCTGTGCTAATGGGATAGTAAATAGAAAAATTTCGCCACGCTTCAATTTACATTTCCTTGATAACTTTGAACGAGAACAATGTTCTTTTGTATTTTACCTGTTAGCATTTCAAGCAGGCTAACGAAATTGTGTCGAAGATTAAAGAAATTTGACATGTTAGTTTATTGGCGTTTATGTTGGTAAATGGAATCTATAATTATAATAATTATCTATTAGTAAAATATGTGTTTATAAATATATACCATACGGATCACCGTTAACATAACTCCTTGTAGCGTGTTCAAGCGCCCTCAAAACACTGTGCCCCCTTTTTAAAAAGAAAAATGATTTATTTGCGAAATGTTTAACAGCTGGACTTGATGCTACGCTAAGCATAAGATGATATAACATGGCTAACGATACGATCGCCTTTACCTAGGAAAGTAAATGTAATCGGGCAATGAAAAATAATTTAATTCCTTGAGACAATTTAACATTAGTTGGTGTGTCATGTTACGAGTTTAAATCTCATATCAATCTGCTATCCATTATCTAATATCACTTAGTTTGGGATAGACGTTATATGCCTGTAGGAAAATTTATGTGAAGTTTATAAAACTACCTTCCAACGCGATTTCGGGACTGTAATATATTTTTCGCGTAGGCTGGGAAAGTTTATCATTATACATGAGAACAACAGAAGCTAGAGCAAGTATTTCTATAGGAACGTGTGTGTACACAACACAGGAAAAGGATATTATTCACTTAAAATATGTTTCATCGTTCAGAGAGGGATTTTGTTGTTTCAAAATTTAACGTGAACCGTTTACTGATTACGTACATTTGGTCGACATATCGTATACAGACAGACACTTTTCAGTAGCATTAGAAATGCGAATAATTTTTTTTAAGCTGGAATTATTAAGACATTGCTGCTGTGCGCTTACGTAATTATTTTTATTCGCTGACTTTCTCGGCGAACTGGTGAGTCTAGTCGCTTTTGACGCACGCCGTTCATTCAAGTGCATATTTCGTTACTCGAACTCAAAACAGAGTTATCACTACACGAAACACTGTTATAGGTTTTTCGTAATTGTATGCAGTCGTATCATTAAAGGTACGATTATAATGAACCTAAAATATGTATTAGACGATGCAGGTAGTACGCAAAAACAATTGATAATACGCCGTACAAAATTTCGATTTCTCAGCCGCGCAAGGCCAGTTTGCAGTTTTACAGAATATGGTTATGTAATATACTGTATAATGAGGAATATGTTTTTTATAAATATTTATTCGTTAGGTTGTAACTATGATGAGAATAGAAAGTTTGACTCGACACGTCGCCTGTATTACATGTTTTATCATTCTATTTACCCATCGGTCTGAAAGGTAGCAGTAATCATAAAATTAAATTTACTAAATAATTTACTTTTTTATTAGTATAAAAAAGTAAATTATTTTGTAAAACAATTTCAATGAAAGGATTATACTATACAAATGTATTACTATACTATTTAATTTAAAATAATTTCAAAGAGTTCATTATACTCGAGCAACCAGAGTTGAAATGCTGGCGCAGTCAT